CCTACTACAGGGCCCCCCACCCGGCCGGCTAGCCATGGCAGGACAACCCTGTAGCCCCATCCCCCAAACCGCAAGGTTCAAAGAGAGGATCTAAACAGGGCCGTCCTGAAGGCAGTCCGTTTTCCCCGCCCCATGCCGCAAGGCACAAAGACTGTACTCACAGGACCCCTTTAAACCCCAAATGAGGGGTGTCAGCTGGTGCTCACTGAACTGCAATCTGTATACCGCATAGCATCCTGCCTAACGAAAGTGACCAACCTGGCTAACACAGCTCACCCCCATAAAAACCTGCATCACTGCCGCTGTGGAGCCAGGCTTTAAGCCTCCACTGCTCCGCCCCCTCCTAAGTCTCTGCCTCTTCTGGCTGGGAGGCAAAGGCGCTCTCCCTGCCCTAACGGCCGGAACGGCCCCGGGCTGTAAAATCGTGTTTTTTTTAAAAAGGTCAGTCAGTCACTGTAAGAGTATGGACATGAAATGATTGCAGACAGCCCCCTTCCCCATAACTCCAGGGTCTGGCACCATTTTCTGTCAACAGAGAGAACTGCTCCTGCTTTGAGAGGGATCTATTTTGGGCATCTGTATAATTGAACCCCTCAGTCCAATTCACTTGAAACTTGGGGAGTGCATAGAATAGAGGAAAGAGCATCTTATGAGCAATTTTGGTGCCATTATCTGTACAAAAGGCTGCTCCAAATTCTCCAGTAGATCCCTCATTGAAAATCATTATTTTCCTCATTTTCCTCCAGTAGATTCCTCATTCCACAGTAGATTCCTATTTTCCTCCAGTAGATTCCTCATTGAAAATCACTAGGTCCAAATGTATTGGAACCCCCAAAACCATACTAATTTAAATCCTGAACCAGCAGTGTCCTATATGAACTTAAGAAATTAGGGTGAGATACCCCCCTGAGCCCTATATATGGAAGTATTAAAAAAATCTTCGTGTACACCCCTACTGAGTATGGAAGATGATGTACCTCAGATTTCAACATCAAGTTCCTGTCTGGAATCTTTATTAATGTCTTACACAAGTGCAGGGCAGCGAGTGCTTTTGTATGTGATAAATATCCCAGAAATGCCATGACTTTTTTTTCTCATTTGCAACATTTTCTAATACAGCTGGAGAAGTGCTTCATGAACTGAGTCATTCACCCATTTACTTACCAGCATTTATCAATATAAGAATGATTGATGGGAGGGGGGGGGAAAGAATCTGTTGTATGACTAGATAGAGCAATACTGGTGAAAATGCAAAATTGTTAACAAAACTATGCACATGACTGAAGAATAGTCATAAAATGACATGTATGAGTTTTGTTCTCTTATTCATTTTCATATATTACTTATTTATTTGTATTGTATTGTATTGTATTGAACATTTGAGTTCTAGAATGCTGGGTCAAAGTGTGTGATGTTCCTCCCGTAGGTCAACAGACTCTCCATATATATGATAGGAGTCATAAAAACTTTAATTCTTTCTCCTAATTATCTGGTCTCTGCTATTCAGATCAGGTCTCAGAAGAATGATGTAGCATTTAACAGAAAAGATCCAAGCCAGTAACGCAGCACTGGAGGCCAAAATAGAGAAGATCTCAACAGCTACCATATATTTCCCTTTGGTGCTCAGATAGGTTGGGACAAAAGACATCCAAACACTGCAAAAGACCAGCATGCTGAAGGTGATGAACTTGGCTTCATTAAAACTGTTGGGCAGCTTCCTGGCAAAGAAAGCCACAATCAAGCTTATGAGAGACAATAGTCCCAAGTAACCCAGGACAATATAAAACATGACCACAGACCCTTCATTACATTCTGCTACAATCTGGTCAGCCATGGAATGCATGTCTAAATCTGGAAACGGGGGAGTGGTCGCTAGCCACACCATACAGATGCCTGCTTGCACAAGGGAGCAGGAAAGGACAATAGAGTTCGCCAGTGTCTTCCCAACCCACTTCCTCAGGCCAGATCCTGGTTTGGTGGCCATAAAAGCTAGAACCACAGTGATGGTTTTGGCCAGCACACAAGAAACAACCACTGAAAAGACAATACCAAAAGCAGATTGTCGGATGAAACAGGTCACATTGCTTGGTTTTCCAAGAAAAAGCAAAGAACAGAGGAAGCAGAGCAGAAGGGAGACGAGGAGCATGTAGGTGATATCTCGGTTGTTGGCCTTGACTATGGGGGTATCTTTGTTCTTAATAAAAACTCCTAGCACGAAGGCTGTGATCAGGAAACAAGAAACAGCAAGGAAAGCTAAACCGATCCCTAAAGGTTCTTCAAATGACAAGAAGGTTATCACTTTGTTGATGCATCCATCTTTGTCCTTACTTGAATGTTGATCTTCTGGGCATTCAATGCATTCAACCATGTCTAAGGGGGATGAACAGAAGGAGTGATCATCGCTGTACACATCAACCTGCATTATCCCAGGTCAGGCCATTGGTTTTCTCAAAGACAGCACTGTACTCTGACCAGAGGCACTTCTTCATTTAGAGAAGTCATTCATGTCACCTTCTACCTTTCATCTGGAGATTTGAGAGTCTGAATCTGGGACCTTATTCATGCAAGGCAAATGGTGTACCATGGAAGCATTGACACTTCCAACAAACCTTGTGGTTGAGCTGGGGATCTTTATATTTTCATTCTATCAATGTACTACTGTGACCTATTTTCTTGCCAGCCTGTTTGTGAGATCCAAACATGTCTCCCATTTGTTACATGGTTGTCTTTCTCCCATCCATTTATATGTATGACAAGTGGGTTTGAAGCTGACCTTTCATAGAATCATAGAATGTTAGAGTTGGAAGGGACCTTGCAGGTCATCTAGTCCAACCCCCTGTACTCTGCAGGAGCAGAGCCGAAAGACAGCCCTACAACATACCTGAAAGATGGTTGTCCAGCCTCCACTTGAAAACGTCCAGCAAAGGAGCATCCACCACCTCCCGAGGCAGTTTGTTTCACTGTTCAACCACTCTTAGGCTGTGTTCAGATGGGGCGTTTCAGCCGGCATAAACTGTATCGGTTGGAATCGTTGCAGTTTATGCCGGCTGAAATGTGATCACACCTCCTGTCTGCGGAGCCCATCACTGTATGCCCATTCACACACAGTGGGCATCGGCGGTTGTTGTTGTTTTTAACTCAGTTTGCGCATGTGCATAGGCAGCCATCCACAGAATGGCGATCTTCACGCATGCGCAAAACACCCCGTCCCGAAAAGCATGCCCTGAAGAGAGGACTTACCTTTAAAGTTTAAAGAGCAAACTGGCCTCCCTGAGGTCCCGGACTCCTCTAAAACGTTAAACTAAGGACCTTTTCTTTTTTTAAAAAAAAACAAACACCGGGGCGAAGCTTTGCCCAAGCGCATATCGCTGACCTAAAAAAAAAATGGTGGGCGAAAATCAGAAGCCTCGGGCTTCCGAACGGAAGTGGCTCTACAACGGTGGAGACTGATCAGATGGGGTAAAGTGATTACAACTGCTGCACTCAGGATACCACCACTTGGGGACTTAGTTTAAAGCCCTTTGCAACGGTTAGGGACGGAAAGCAGATGTTCGCCGTGTGAACGCCGGTAAGTACACCGATTCCAACTGGCACCTATACCATTGCAAATGCCCCGTCTGAACGCACCCTTACAGTTAGGAAGTTTCTCCTGATATTTAGCTGGTAATGACTCCTTTGTAATTTCCACCCATTAGATCTAGTTTTGCAATCTAGGCATTAGATCTAGTCTTGATTTAGGGGTGACCTGGCATGGTTTTCATGGCATTTCAACTTTTGTTTCTGTATGTAAAGGAATGTGGAGTGGTATAGTATAGCCCAATTTCAGATCTTGGAAGCTAAACAGGATTGGTATTTTGATGGGAGATTACAAATGAATACTCTACAGAGGCCCCGGGCACATAGAGAATTTGCCCCGTGAGAGAGATGGCTTGCCTGCGGATTAAAGCAGCGCGATCATACCATAACATCTGGGAATCGTTGCACTCCCGTCTCTAACCCGCAGCTTCGGTCCAAAGATGTGGATTTAAAAGCTACCAGGAACCATGTACTATTTTCCTCATAATGCGCAGCACGAGCGGGCATCTGATCAGGAAGCGCTGGTAGCCCATTGCAGCCAGCACCCTTCGGCATCCCATGCATGCACACAAACACCTTGCTGCTGTGTTGCCTCACATGGTGTGATCGGCTGCTGGAGGCTTGGGCTCGGAGCCACGGGGGAAGGTGAGATCACGCTACTGTGCATCTTGTTGCTCTGGCTCTAAAAGCCTCCCGTCCCCTGAGGATTATCCCGCTCGTGTGACCAAGGTCATAGTCAATGGCAAACCATCTCTACTACTCATTTGCCTTGCATGTCCATTGCTGGTGTCATCACCATAAATCAGTTGTGACTTGGCAGCATGTACATACATGTATTCAACAAGGAAAGTGGGTTGAGGAGATTGCCTGGGAATCTTGCGACCCCTTAGGATGGAGGTGTAAAAGGAAGACAATGAAAGTATCTACTTTGATGCTGCTGTATTTCCAGTTACATTCTATGCAGATATAGTCCATTAAAAGCCCATTGATTTCTACTGGCATAGACTCCTGGGAGTCTGCATAGGATTGCATCATACCTCACCTACCTTGCTGGCTTGAAATCTTCCCTTCTGGGCAAGGAACACAATCATAGCAACAAAACGTCTCCCCTTCTTTCTTTTTCTTCCATGAACCAGGGTGGCAGTAGTCATTACACACAGAAATGGGCCAACGTTCCTGAAAAACAATAAAAAACTGTAGTGGGAGAAGCAAGACATTATTTACTGCTCATGTGATCAGGGAAAAGGTAATAGTAACAAACATTGAATTTTAACAATCAGGCAGCATTTCTTTATTGGTGGCTCAAAGTGTTTTTGCAACTTCTAACCTCCAGGTGGGCCTGGGAATTGTCCTGAAATTACAGATGATTTCCAGACTACAAAACACATGAACCCAAGAAGCTGCTTTATTGACTGAGCCCCTTGTTCCATTGACGTCTGTATTGTCTACTCAGACTAGCAGTTGCTCTTTGGGGTTTTAGCTTTAGGTCTCTCACTTCACCTTCTGCCAGATCAGTTGAGATGCATGCCAAGCAGATACTCTACCACTGAGCCACAACCTGTCCCCAAAAGAGATTGGTTCTCCATAAGAAAATGGCTACCTTGGAGGGTGGGCTCTATGGCATCACAGCCCTGTTGTGGTCAGACCTCCCCAGGATCCACAACCAAATCTCCAGGAAATCCCCAGCTTTGGCAACACCACTGCTTTGGTGGAATGAAACTTGGGGACTACCAAAAACTGCCTGAATACTCAACCCAGATCCTAATCCCAGGGGGGGGGAGGTGTGATTCTTTTAAAACCTAGTAAATTGTGATGAAGGCATGGGAGAGACCACCTTATTGGATTTATATGTAAAATATACAATTGTTTTCAAATGATTTAGGAAACAGGGGTAGTCAATGGTACATCTCACTTTAGCAGGGTGTCCCAGAAGTATGAGGTAACTGGGGCAATTTGCTCACACCCAAAGGTCAATTTGCTCACCACCCAGCCCCGATGCCTTGTTCACCAGAATTCTTCATGTTTTGTCTACAGTGATTATTAAAAAATAGGGATGGTTTGTTACAGTGTAAGAACAGTAAACCTCAACATACCAGTGTGATGTAATAGGAAGTGTTCATAACCACAACAAAATTAAGTATTAACACCAGAGGCCATTTCGGGGGGGATCGTGGGGGATCGCAGTTCCCCCGGGTGAGGTGTGGGGGGGCACACAACGAAGCCACACCCCCTGCTTCTGGCTGACCCGCTTCTGGCCCTCATTCAGCAAGGAGGAGGCAGGAGAAGAGGGAGGGTAACTTGCTTCCTCACCGCCTCTCCCCACCCCTGCCTGACTGGGGCCAGGGAGGGCCTTGGTGGGGCTTCCTCGGACTCCCGCCGGCCTTGCAGGTCCACCGCCAAGCCCCTGATGTCAGAGGGTGTGGCATATGCTAATGAGTTATGCTAATGAGTTCCCCTAGCTCTTTTTCTACGAAATGACCCCTGATTAACACAGAACTGAGCATAGCACAGAATGAATGCCAATGAGAGGCAGGGGGTGGAGGACCTTTCCTGTGAGGAAAGGCTGGAGACCCTGGGATTGTCCAGTTTAGAGAAGGGACAACTGAAGGGGAACATGAAAGAGGTTTATAAAATTATGCATGGGGTAAAGAGACTGGAGAGACAGAACTCCCCCCTTCCCAAAATACAGGAACATGAGGGCATCCAATAATACCGATGGGCAGTAGATTCAGGATGGACAAAAGGAAAGTCTTCTTTACGCAATGAGTCATTAAAATTTGGAGTTCACTGCCACAGGATGTAATGATGGCCACAGGCACTGATAGCTTTCAAAGGGGATTATACAGATTCATGGAGAACAGGTCTGTCATGGCTACTAGCCATGATGACTCGAGGGAGCATCCATGTTCAGATGCAGTAAACCTCTGACTCCCAGTGCCAGGAGGCAATACCAAAATGGGGGGGGGGGACAATAACCATAGAACAATAACTATTTAACTCTTTAACAAGTTTCTTGTTTAATATGCCAATTTACTAAGTACATAAATATCAAATAATAAAAATAACACCTCCGTGTCCATTGAACAAAATAATTTCTACAGTGCTAGTCTACTGGTTAACAAATACCTTTAAATCACTGAGTTCTTACAGATATATAGAAGACCTAATAAATACTAATAAACAGCACAATAAAGCTAAGAAATACCCTTTAAAAATATAATGCTGTACACTTTTTGAATACTTTTATTCATATAAGCTTTCTGAGAAATGAATTATAAAGACAAAACTTGACTCAGATTATGTTGAGAGGGTTCCCCCCCCCCATACAAAGGCAGTCCCCAGTCTGACAGGGGACTGGCTGGAGGATTCGTTTCATAGAACTTCCTCAAAGACATATTTGCTTGTTAGTAGTTAAGTAAAAAAAAAAAAGGCTTCAATCTCTTATCCCTATAATCACCGGAATTTGCCTTACAATCTTTCCAGAATTAAAAACATCTTCACTCCCTCACACCGGGCAAAAAGCGTTCAGTCTTATCTCCCTACAGATAAGACCGTAAGGCTTTTTGTCAGGCATGAGAGAGTGAAGACATTATGAATTCTGGAAAGATTGCATTGCTTAGTGGCAGAGCTTTCAGCCTTTCCTTAAACCTCAGGATTCCTGTCTTTGGCCTCAGCCACATGGGCAGGAAAATGCGGGGGGGGGAGGTGTGGCTGTTTGCCCTGGAGCAAACTAACGCGCAACTGCGCAATCAGGCTTCGGGCTGAGGTCCCGTGGAGCTCCCGTGGTGTTTTGTTTTTAAAACTTAAATGTGTGCATGCTCTGTTGTGTGCTTGTGCACATCCGTGGAGACTTGGGGAAAAAAACCCTTTTTGCGAGGGGACATGGGCGAGCGCCGGAACTACCACCGGAAACGTGATCAGACGTCCGCCCTTGCCCCGTGGTTTCTGGAAACTAGTACCTCCGAGGTACTAGTTTTTTACCCCACATCTTCGGTGGGAAGCCTCGGGAGCGCCACGGGAGCTCTACGCTCCCCAGATGTGGCGGTGAGATCACGCCCAGAAAATCTGCCTATCTTCCGTCTCTCTAGCATGCCTAATGCTCTGTGTGACCAGGGCCATAATTACGAAGCTGATCACAAATGAAAGGATGAGGACATAAAGGGTGCATTCAGTTGGCTCTATAGATCCGCGTGAGGCACGGGTGCCTCATGGATTTAAATGTAATGTCCAGACATTAACATCTGGGAAACGTCCGTCTTCCATGAGCATCCTGTTTTGCCGTGCCTTGGAGCCGTACTAAAAAGATACCACGTTAAATCTAGAGTTTTCAGTTCTGATGGGCCACTCGCAGACTTTCCCCCATCTGATTGTTCCAGCATGCAATTAAAAATGGCACCCGTTTGGAATGGTCTTTTGGTGGATGCCGTCTAGACAATCCACAGTGGAAGCAGCGCATGGTAAGGCGATTCCCCCCGGGGATGTCTGGTCGTGCAAGGATGGATTAAAAACACTGGGATCAAATTTGAGCCGACGTAATGGTGAGATTAGCTGTTTGTCTGAACACACCCAAAGAGGATAATAGCGTTCCTGAGCCTGAGAATGGAAAGTCCCTGAGAAGACCCTATGGTCTGTACCTGGTTGAAACTCGTCTGCCACACAATTCTGTCCTCGTGAAGGATGAATCCTTGTCCTTCTGGAGCTTTGGAATTCACACTTCCAACTTTCACTCTAACAAAAGTCTTGTTCCGGAATGTGACCACGTTCATGATATCAAAGCCATCTCCCATTCCCCTGTTGTCTTTAAACGACACAGATTCACCTGCTGAGTTGTTAAATGAAATGCCTTGAAGAAATGGGTGCAGCTGCTTGAAAGAAAAAGGAAGAAAGAAGATATTGTAGTCATAAGGCTGAGATTACAAACATCTTTGGGAAATGGAACAGTTGTGCAATGCAGCTATTTTGTAGTGTAAGAAGAATAAAAATATAAGGCTAATCTTTCTTCAGCACCACCCAAATTTTGTCACTGAATCATATGTACATCTGTCCACTAATAATATGTGTTTCTGTATTTTGTGCCAGGGTGTTCATGACCTTACCTTCCAAGCCTGGAGATGGTGAAATTCAAGTCTTTTGCTCCATAATATTTCTCTATACTTGGACATAGAGGTGTGCATGGCATGCAAAGCATGTGCTGTGGCATGGACAGCATTGTAGATGCTGTAGCTGTGGCCAGTCATACTCATTTCAAAAACATGCCCTGGAAGGCTGTCCAAGCGCTCCTCTCCAGTACATGATGCATCATCCTTCTCCGGATCCCATAGATTTAGTAATGAACAAGCAAATGCTTGTTCCCAAAACTCCTTGAAAAAACCATCTTTGTATTCCCAATATGGTTTAATTTTGTTTAAGAAGTCATGGAACCCCAAAGGCTCTTTCAAGTGAATTCTGAAGGAAAGCGCCCCTTGGAAGAACTGGATATCCGAGGCTCGCTGTAGGCCTGTTAAGGCAAAATCCACTTGGGCTGTCATAATCCATACCTTTCTCAATGACATATTTTCTTTGTAGCCATAATCTGCTAGAAATATGGCATAGTTCAAAGTTATGACTGTCCTTGATTCTCCATAGAAGATAAATGTATGGGCTTTGGTATCACCAAAAGGCAAATATATATTTGACGCCACATTAGTAAGGTCGTATAAGTTATCCCAATTCACTTGGTTTGGGATTCTCTCTGTGAAGGCCCAACATATTCTATGCTGGGAAAATAAGGGCTGAAGGGATTGCAAGAAACGGTCTCCGCTGTCGTCATCCACAGCAAAGAGCCCGACCCAGGTCCATCCGAAATGCTGAAGTAATTTGACAATTCCTGTGCATTGCTGGGCTTCATTTGGGACCATGTGGTAAAAGGAAGGGGACTGTCTTGTACTTCTCTCCTCTTGGGCAAATGAGCCATAGGTGAGCTATGAGGAAATGCACATATATTTGAAGAAATTTAGAGAGAAGAATGTCTGTATGTTCTTGTGCGCATTTATGCTGTGACTATTCGCTGCAGGAAGTTTCAGAATTGCTTGGAGGTAAACTCAAAATCCAAGTCAACTCTCCTGTCACTGTGGTTTGTTCCTTCAATGTTTTCAACCTCCCACTCAACAGGAAATGTCCATGCAGCTGCTTCTATGACCTTTATTTCATGTTGCTTCATATTCTATGGATCATGGACAGGCAGTGCCTCAGTAAATAAATTACATTTCAATCATCTGAGCAGCTCTTCATCATAACAGAGGAATATGATTGCATAGGGAAGGCTAGTTTTTCCTCTCACTTTAATTCCCATGCAGATTGAGCAGGAAAACTGCATATTTTGTCAAATTGCTGAAGTATACATGCACACCATGAGGGAATGAACTGTCAACATTAGATATAATGTACCACCACACATTTCTATATGTGATCATGAAAATCGTGGGACAATATCCATGATCCTAATTATGTCATCAATTGTCTAGAGTATAAAATGTGAATCAATCAACACCAGGTTATGCTTATTATACCAACAATTGTTTTTGGTGTGTATGTATATCTGAAGAAGGCTCACTGGGCCAAAACACGTCTGGTCCTGTGTATGGTGATTGTGATCTTATTTGGATGTCATCAACATGTTGATTTTTATTTGTATTATTTAATGTATTTCAGGACTACTTAGTGATTGCAATCTAGAAGCAAACTTCATGGCCTATGTTTGTAATTTGTGTTTTAAGTGCACTGTGCAATAAATTGATATATTTTGTTTACTTCATTTTTAACACTGTTCCTGCATAACCTTCATGGTGCCTAAATCAATTTTTGGGTTGAGTTTGTATTCCTTTGGGATGGGGGTGTAAGTTTTCCTCTCCCAACATAACTTCAGTTCCCATGAGGTAATGTCTGAAGATGGATGTATGAGGATTCTTTTTTCTTTTTTCCAAAATTCAAAGGCTAACCTGTCCTTGGCAGCATTAGATACCAAGCCAGGCACCACAAAGTGCATCAGGAGACACCTCACAAAATCATTATTGTTGAAATATTAATTTTCAGGACCTTTTATAATGAAGCAATGGCAGTGGATTGTGGGGGACTATATGAGAATTCTCAAACTCTCGTGCCTGAGACACAAATGGTTCAAACACAAGGATATGTTTTGCTGAATGTTTGACTTTACAAACCAAAATGAGTAACCAAAGAACCACATCAAAGAGTGCTCTCATTGAATTGTCTCAGGGTATGGCAATAGAGTGCAATCTAATGCTCATGACCACAACATTTCTAACAAGACCTTACAAAAGATTCAGTACTGGCTGTTCCTCCTGGACCAGTGAAGTAACTCTTCCATGTCTTTCCTCCCTTTCTTATACATCACACTATATTTTTTCCCTGTCTACATACCTCTCCCTCCTTCAAAACCTCAAAATGACTCCCAGACAAGGAAGTGTAATTTTAAAATACTCCATGCACAAATCTTACCTGTGGTATCTTGTAAAGACCCAAGATGTCTGCCATATGGAAGGAGATGTCTGAGCTAAGTCCCCCAATGACAGCCATCATGTTTTTCTGAATGCCACATTCATAGTTGGGAAAATATCTGTGAGACTTAAACAGGAGATCCAGCAATGTACGATAGGTCATTCGGATGCTGTAGTAGCTGTCACAGATGTGGAACCCAAGAGTGACATTCGGCAAGATCTTGGGGTTCTGGTTGACCTCATCTACAGCAAACACCAAAGCCAGGACATGCTGGTAGAACTTTGTCAGCATACTGTAAACATAATTTCATGCTCCTTAATGGTAACATTCTACAATGGTTTGCTACAACTCTGCCTGTGTTTTTATTACCTCTGTGTAAGGTAATTAGTATTGCTATTCTTTTCTAAGCTAATATATTGTTCTTCAGCCCAAATAACATTTTGCATACACAAGAAGATCAATATTGTGTAACACAATAACCTACAATATGTCATCAAGGGTTTAAAATGTACCTAAGCAGCTACAGCACAATGTGCTATGCATGGTGACTTAGGGTTCATGCATGGGCAATGGGCAAGATGCAGACATTTCCTTCTCAGAGGTTATGCTTCCATGAGCCTTAGGACATAGAATCATTAACACAGAAGAACATAAGAAGAGCCCTTCTGGAAGAGAACAGTGGTCCACATATCCTACCTTACACAGCTGCTGGTTCAGTTGCTCTGAAGACCTGAAAACAGGGCACAGAGACCAAGGCGTTCTACTGCTCTTGAATCCTAACAGTAGCATTTCAAATCTTACTGTCTTTGACTGTGGAGGTTCCCTTTAGTCACCATGGCCATTATCTGCAAATCTGTGTCATCCTTTTGAAGCTATCTTTGCTTGTGATCATCACTATGTCCACTGGTACTGAATTCCAGCCGTTAATTACTGGTTGAGTGAAATTCTCCATCCTGTTCTTACTGTCTTTGAATGTGGAGGTTCCCTTTAGTCACCATGGCCATTCTCTGCAAATCTGTGTCATCCTTTTGAAGCTATCTTTGCTTGTGATCATCACTATGTCCACTGGTACTGAATTCCAGCAGTTAATTACTGGTTGAGTGAAATTCTCCATCCTTTTCTCATATCTTCAGGGGTCATTTCCTGCAGGAGCGCACAGGAGCGGAGCTCCGGCAGTAAAGAGCCCAGGGGGCGGGCACATGCAACAAGCCCCACCCCTTGCTCCCAGCAGTCCTCAGTCAGAGCAAGAAGCAGCCAGGTAAATTGCAGACCCCCATCCAAAACAGTCTAGTGGCACCTTTAAGACCAAGTTTTATTCAGGTACAAGCTCTCCCTCCTCTGCCAGGAGAGATCTGTAGGTCCCCCCCCCAATAGCTAGCAATCCAAAACAGTCCAGTGGAGCCTGAGCAGTGGGTGTTGCCTTCTGACACATGTCCGGTGATGTCAGGGGGTGTGGTATATGCAAATAAGTTATGCTAATGAGTGATACTAATGAGCTCCTGCACCTCTTTTTCTACTAAATGACCCCTGTATCTAATGTATTGCCCATCAACTTCATTGGGTGCTCATAATTTGGAGTATTATGGGAGAAATGGGGGGGGGCTGGTTTCTGTACCCCATGCCTAATCTTATAAACTTTTGAGGACTCCAGCATTACACCATAACATTATTATTATTTTCTTTTTTTTCTTTAAAGTATGCATATCTGCTAAAACAGGGATGTGATAAAGAGTATTCAATTGGCTTAAAGCCCAATGTACAGGAAATTTCTTTTTGGGAAAAGATTTTCCCATACCATTATGTTTTGCAATGTGTAATATAGTTTGTATTTTAAAAGAGTTTCCCATTCCCTTTAATTTATACAGTCTTCTACACTCTTTTAAATTGGCATTCTCTCATACCTGCATACATCTAATTGATTCCAGATTTGGTGCAATAAATGCATGACCACTAAAATCCTGCAGACACCTGAGTCTAAGCCTATTGAAATATCTCTCTCTCTCTCTCTCTCTCTCATGCCTGCTTCTTCCCAGCCTTAAAAATACTAAGAGTTCTTATTCTAGGAAAAGGAACACCATATATACTGTCAGCATAGCAAACACAATTGCTGGGGTTTACTTTCTGGTCAAGTTCATATAGAAGCTGTGGTGGCTCAAGTGGTTAAGATTCTGAACTGCAGGCTGTGGAAGATTGGTAGTTCAGCAGTTCGAGACTCGAATACGCTGCATGACGGAGTGAGCTCCCATGTCTAGTTCCAGTTCCTGCCAACCTAGCAGTTCGAAAGCAAGAAATTGAAAGTAGATAAATAAGTAGCACTTCAGTGGGAAGGTAACAGCGTTCTGTGTGCCTTGGTGTTTAGTCATGCCGGCCACATGACCACGGAAATGTCTTCGGACAGCGCTGGCTCTTCAGCTTTGAAACGGAGATGAGCACCCCAACCCTGGCTTTCAAGCGAGGGAACCTTTACCTTTACAAGTTCATATGATTCAAGTGAGGCACAGGAATCCTTACTCTGGAAAGTAAAACAAGCCATCTGAGGGATTCTCTTGGAAAAGAAATGTGTGAAGAGGGTAAACAATCTGAGAAACCATCCCACCAACAAGGACATCCCCAGACTGATGGAAGTCATGTGGAACTGGGAGGGGATCACTCATGAGACACTTCCAAGTATGGACTTTACATGCCATGGGAGGGAACAGAATAAGCAAGATCACCAGCTTCACCATCCTATCAGCAGTCGAGACACAGACTCTCTTGTGCCCCTTTTGCCCGGAGCGTTGGCTCCCCAGATCAGCCTGATTTCTACCAGCAATACTGGAGCAAAAGCACATGCTTTTAAAGAGAGGGCATGTATCAATCTCAAGGATAATTCAAACCAAGTATGAAAGACAGAACTAACAGCTCCCTCTGTCTGTCTCTTCTGCCCATTTAAACAACACAGGGATGAGAGCATTTATCTTCTCTTTCCAACTTGCTCAATAACACGGATCCTGTCTTGGCTATGAGGAAAAAATTGCAGTAGTGTGGGTAATTGTGGAGGAAGATAATTACATCTGATGAGTCTGAGCTCTAAATGGATACCATGGTGGCAAACATGTTTAGTGACCTGTCTGAAAGACATCAGAAAGAAATACTCTGTTTATTCAAATACAATAACATTTTCCACGTGTACCATAAAAACTATGGGGTCGTCTCACATTCCCATCCGAATTATGCTTATGCCTTGGAATAATGTTTTTTTTAAAAAACAACACCGAACAACCCTGTGTATAACTTCTTTAAGGTGGCATGTCTTTCTTTCAGGGTCATCTTCCTTTTAAGTAGATGTAGCTTCCTAAGCTATTTAGTGGGACCAAGAGCAGGAGAGGACTTCTAGTTCCTTATCATAAATCAGCAACAAGAGGAAAAGCTGGCAGCAAGCAAAGCCAGTGGCTTGATTGGGACCCTGAGGCAGTGTTAGCTTTAGGCAGGGGTCATTTCCTGCAGGAGCGCGCAGGAGCGGAGCTCCGGCAGTAAAGAGCCCAGGGGGTGGGCACATGCAACAAGCCCCACCCCCTGCTCCCAGCAGCCCTCAGTCAGAGCAAGAAGCAGCCAGGTAAGTTGCAGAGCTCCCCCCCGGACCAAAACAGTCCAGTGGCACCTTTAAGGCCAAGGTTTATTCAGGTACAAGCTCTCCCTCCTCTGCGAGGACAGATTTGCACGTTCCCCTCCCCCCAATAACTAGCAATCCAAAACAGTCCAGTGGAGCGGTGGGTGTTGCCTTCTGACACACTTCCAGTGATGTCAGGGTGTGTGGTATATGCAAACGAGTTATGCTAATGAGTTATGCTAATGAGCTCCTGCACCTCTTTTTCTATGAAATGACCCCTGGCTTTAGGTCTGGTGTACTATTAATCATGTCTCCTCAAGTCCAATTGAGACCAATATAGCTTCACCCTGGTAAACATACAGAGGACTGCAGCCTTTGTAGCAGGCACTCCTTTGCATATTAGGTGACATACCCCTAATGTAGCCAATCCTCCAAGAGTTTACAGAGCTCTTCTTACAGGGGCTATTGTAAGCTCTTGGAGGATTGGCTACATTAGGGGTTTGTTGCCTGATATGCAAAGGAGTTCCTGCTACAAAAAGAGCCCTGGAACCAAGGTATCCCACTGTTCTACAGATGCTTCAGGAGTCTCATATTGATCTGCCTCGATCCAGTTCTGTCAAGAGGATGGGAGTCAGTATTTCTCACTAAGATAAATTTCATTTATTTTACATCAAGTTCTTGTTTAGAATCTTTATTAGCACCTCATACGATTGCAGGGCAGCAAATCCTTTTGTGTGTGATAAATGTCCCCCAAATCCCATGATTCTTTCATTCCCAGCAGTCTCTGGTGCAGCTGGAGAAATGTTTCATGAACTGAGTCATTCACCCTGTTACTAGTAACTTTAACCCCCCCACCCCCCAAAAAAAAGATTGATGCGGGCGGGATCTGTAATATGAATAGGTGATGAGCAATGCTGGCAAAAAGGTAAAACCATTGCCTAAACTATGCACACAACTGAAGAATAGTCATAAAAGGACAGATATAAGTTTTCCTTCCCTTATTCATTTGCATGTATTACTTATTTATTCTGTTTTTATAGAGCACTTAAGTTCTAGAATGTTGGTTTAAAGTAATTAAATCAGAAGAGGTTTTGACTAAACATTAGGAAGAACTTCCTGACAGAGCAATCCCTCATTTGAACAGGTTTCCTTGGGAGGTGGTGGGCTCTCCTTCTTTGGAGGTTTTCAAACAGAGACTAGATGGCCATCTGACAGCAATGCTGATTCTGTGAACTTAGGCAGCTCATGAGAGGGAGGGCAGGAAGGTTTGCCTCACTGCTTATTTCTTGCGGCCTTTTCTTACACACCCAGGAAAATGCTGATTACCACTTTGGGGTCAGGAAGTCATTTTTCTCCAGGCTGGTTTGGCCAGGGATCCTAGAGGTTTTTTTGTTATCTTCTGGGCATGGAATAGTGGTCACTGTGGGTATGGAGGGGGAGGTATTTGTGAATTTCCTGCCTAGACCAAAGCAGGGGGTTGGTCTAGATGACCCCATAGGTACCTTCCTACTCTATGATTCTATGATTTGATGTGATATTCCTCCATCAGGCTGTCTCTCCATATATACAATGTGTCAAACATCCTTTAATCCTTTCTTCTAATTATCTGATCTCTGGTATTCAAATCAGGCCTCAGCACAATAATGTAGCATTTAGGGGAAAAAATGCAACCCAGCAATGCAGCACTGGAGGCCAAGATAGAGAATATCTGTACTGCGACCATGGATTTCCCCTTGGTGCTCAGGTAGGCTGGAACAAAAGACATCCAAACACTACAAAAGATGAGCATGCTGAAAGTGATAAACTTGGCCTCATTAAAACTGTCCGGCAACTTCCTGGCAAAGAAAGCCACAGTCAAGCTTATGAGAGACAATAGTCCCAAGTAACCCAGGGCAATATAGAACATGACTGCAGATCCTTCATTACATTCTGCTACAATCTTCTCAGCCATGGAATGCATGTCTAAATCTGGGAAGGGGGGAGATGTTCCCAGCCACACCATACAGATGCCTGCTTGCACAAGGGAGCAGGAAAGGACAATGGAGTTGGCCAGTCTTTTCCCAACCCACTTTCTCAGGCCAGATCCTGGTTTGGTGGCCATAAAAGCTAGCACTACAGTGATGGTTTTGGCCAACACACAAGAAACAGACACTGAAAAGATTATCCCAAAAGCAGATTGTCGGATGAAGCAGGTCACAGTGCTTGGTTTTCCAAGAAACAGCAAAGAACAGAGGAAGCAGAGCAGAAAGGAGATGAGGAGAGTGTAGGTGATATCCTGGTTGTTGGCTTTGACTATGGGGGTGTCTTTGTTCTTAATGAAAACTCCAAACACAAATGCTGTGATGAGGAAACAAGAAACTGCAAGGATAGCTAAGCTGATTCCTAAAGGTTCTTCAAATGACAAGAAGGTTGTCACTTTGCTGATACATCCATCTTTGTTCTTGCTTGAATACTGATCTTCTGGGCATTTGATACAATCAACCATGTCTAAGGAAAACAAAACAAAAAAACAGGAAGAGGGATTGTTACTGTGCACATGAGCCTGCCTTACACTGAGTTAGGGAACTGGTTTTTCCATGTCAGTATTGTGCTCTTTGATTGGAGGCACCTCTCCATGTAGAGAGGTCTTTTATGTCTCTTGTCTGGAAACACTGAGTTTTGAAGCTGGGACCTTCTCCATGCAAGACAGATGCTCTGTCGTTGAGAAACAGTCTCTTCCATCAAAGCTTGTAGTTGAGCTGGGGACCATTATATCTTCATGTTGTCACTCTACGAAATGACCTAATGTTATTGTTTTTTCCAGCATCCCCTGTTTGTGGGGTCTGAACCTGTGCCTTCTATTTGTCCCATGGTCAACTTTCTCCTGTCCATTTATGGTCCTACTGGTATAACAAGTGGCTTTGAAGTTGATCTTAGATTTAGTGGTAATATGGTATTTTATTCACTGCATTTTAACTTTTGGTTCTTTGTGTAAGGGGTTTTTAAATGGTATGGTATAGCCTGATCTTGTCAGATCTCGGAAGCTAACATGGTTGGTACATGGATGGGAGACAACCCAAGAAGACTCTTCAGAGGAGGACAATTACAAGCCACCTCTGCTTCTCACTTCCCTTTCAAAGCTCCTTGCTGGGGTCATCACCTTAAGACAATTGTGACTTGAAGTCCATATACATGTATCTTTGTGTCAAAGGTTTATTCAATTTCTTTCAATTTTTCAACATTTCATCCTTTAAAATGTCTAACTCACGGTCATATCCTTTCCCCCCTTGAAATTATGTTTATTGTTTAATTATATATTTCCAGTTATGCATTACATTATATGGGGGGGGGAACAGTGTTCTGAGTTCTCAGAAGTCTTTGAGCCTCTTAATGATGACTGCTTGGGATTTCCAATGGGGGAACAACCTCATTTTCATTTTCACTGTCGTGCCCTCCTCCATCCTGCCCACCTAAAACCTGTTGTCATCACAGAAAAAGCTTTCAGTAGGTAAGTGGGTTTGGCAGATTGGGTATCTTAAGGTCTCTAGGAACGGAGGAAGAAAACCCCACTCTGTTCCCTGTGACAATGAAAACGTCCATCTTGATGCTATGGCCTTTCCAGTTGCATTCTATGTAGAGCTCATCCATTCAAAGACCACTGCTTTCTACTTAGATCACTGTGAGGGTGCACAAGATTGCACTTTAAACCATGTACCTTGGTGGTTTGAAATCTTCCCTTCTGGGCAAGGAACACAATCATAGCAGCAAAATTTCTCCCCTTCCTTCTTTTTCTTCTGATAACCAGGGAGGCAGTAGTCATTGCACACAGAAACAGGCACACCCTGTTTAAAAATAACAGGACCATATGATGGGTGAAACTAAGACACTATGTTACTGTTCATATGTGCAGTAAAATTGGAATGCTTGCAAACACGGTTTTGATCTTGATTTTAAACATACTCCCTTGGCTGAATTTGACACTGAGCTTCTCATTCCCATTGTGTGACTGAGTGAGCTAGTTTGACAGAGTTTGCTCATTTGAGGGATAGTTATATTCCTCCCACATGCTTACTTCCAAGCTTCTAAGTTTTATATTCTTCAATTATAAGTTTATATTATGTTTTAAGTTTAAATCTCTCTGCAGCTGCTTCTGCTGTTGACTTTCTAGCTGATTAACATTTAACCAAGGAGCAGGTCTGAGTGGGGCATTACCCCTCTTTTTTCTTCTTCTTCTTCCTCTTTTTTTTTTTTTTTTTGGGGGGGGAGATGCTGAGCTATTTTCCATTTGATGTTGCCCTGAAGGGGATTTTTAAGGAGAGAAGTGTGCCAAGTTGCTTTTTAGCTTTAACTTTTTTTAGTTACGGCTTTTTAGCCTCTAAATTTGTAATTATTTTATATTAGGAGTATGGCCCATTGTGGGAAGAAATACGAGTTCTAGAAGGAAGCTCCTGGTGAGTGTCCCTGCTGTGGCTGGTGGGATGGCAGGGGGAAGGGGGGAAATAGAGGGAGGAGAGCCATGTTTATTTCCTTCTGCTTAGCTATAAGGCAGAGCTATCTCAAGTCATTTTGCTGCCCCAAGTGGGTAGTATGGGAGGACAGCCTCATGGTAACAGGTATGGTTCCCTCCACCCCTGACTTACATTGATTTGGGGTTATGCAGTGACAGCTAAGGTAGAAAAGCACCTCCTCCTATGCCATGTCTTCTGGGTTCCAAGGGTCTGGAAAGCAGTTCCATAGCCAGTTACAGGATTGCCAACTCTGGGTTGGGAAATACCTGTAGATTTGAGGGATAGTGCCTGGGGAGGGCAGGGTTTGGGGTGTGGAGGGACCTCAGCAGGGTATAATGCCATAGAGTCCACTGCCCAAAGCAGCCATTTTCTCCAGGAGAACTGACCTTGGAGATCTCCAGGTGCTGCCTGGAGTCTAGCAATACTAAGGGGAGGGCCATACCTGTAGATTTGCGGGGTAGCGCCTGGGGAGGGCAGGGTTTGGGGTGCAGAGAGACTTCAGCAAGGTATAATGTCATAGAGTCCATTGCCCAAAGCTGCCATTGTAATAGTTGGGAAATTTTCTTTAGGGGAAAGAATGTCCTGTGGCTGGGGAACATGGTGATTTCTGGAAGATCTCCAGGCCCCACAGGAAGATTGACAACTCCAATGATTATTTAAAGGAAGATTGGGATATGTATTTTGGCCAACTGTTTAGAATGTTAGAGGCAAAGACCAACCAGGTCACATATGCAAATCACTTCTGTGTTACTGGCTATTAGGGGGAGAGGAGCAGCAAACTGTTTAGAACATTGGAGGCGAGACTCAGGCAACGGAACCATTGGATAGGGGCAGCTTCTGAGTGACAGATCAGAGAGCCAACTGATTTGGGAGTGTATGGAATGTTCAGGAGACTGCCACTACCAAAACAGAATTATTTTATAGAGAATGAATGAATTTTATTGTTACAGCGCATAGCCAGCAATAGAGAGATAAATATATAGAGAGATAAATAGTAGCTTTTTAGCCATAGTTTTAACCTGCAGATTTACAATAATTTTATAACAATTTTATAGCAAATATTATAACAATTTTGCAACATTATTTTATCTTTTCCCCTTTTTATCCTTTTGAGGTTTTCCCTATCTGTCTTTGTTCCCTTTCCAGTGGTCATCCTCAGTCTAAATTGTCTCTGTCTCATATTGAAGTGATTGAGGTTAAAATAATAGTCTTATTACTGGGCCATTTTTGATTTATCTAGCCTTATTTACATTAATCTTCTTAATATTTATTAAATATTACAACCCTCTTTAACACTGAGATGAGGATTAAATGAGGGTATCCTCTTGAAGAGGAAAAGCAACGTGCGACTAAGCAATGCAGGCTAGGTTATTTCTTTTGAGGTAGAAAAAAAATCGCTTTGAAGCTTTGGATAACGCTGACATCTTTGACAAGGGTCTACAGCAAGAGAATGATTTTGAGGTACAGGAGGGAGCAGAATCCAGGGGAGAAATAAAAGGAAGCAGTGAGTGGCTGGTACAGGACTCTCTGCTAGGAGGTGCTGGTGTTAAAACAAGGGCTGAGGACAGACTGGCAGTATGAAGCACGAGGAAGGTGGGGCAAAAAGACCCAGACCAAGTTGTGCCGGGGATTCCAGGTTGCACTGCACCTACTGATGTGGGAGCATACTGGGGAGGAGGCGCAAGGGAGTGTTTGCAGTGTTTGCCCCCACTGTAAGCAGCTTTTTTCCCTCCGGCGACATGTGCCTATAGGCACATAGGCGCAGCAATGCAGCTTTCTGTGGCTTTTAATGTGCACACTTCTGGGAAGCGGGATCAACACGGTCTCCAGGGCTTGCTACCGCTTTCACCTGGTACTTTTTTAACTTGGAAGGGAATAGTCATAGGACGGGTTGAGTACAGCTGGGGAATGCCTGACAGCTGTGGCTGTGTGAACTGGCCCCTTTAATCCTTTTGTGTCGTGCGTATATTGGGCCAAACTGTCAGTCTGAACTCAGCCAAGGGATGATAATCTTTGTTGGCAACTCACTTTTTTTAAAAAAATTGACCTATTACAATCAAATATAGATATGAAAGCCTTCCCATAGAATTTTCTCTTTAATAGGTCAAGTGAGATCAAGGGGTAAATGTAGCTGGTAAGCAATTAACAAAGTTTGTTTTATCCCATAATTTGGTGATAGTGAATGCAATTAGGTTTCCCAGCCTCCAGGTGGGGCCTTGGGATCTCCCACTTTTACAACTGATCTCCAGCTGACAGAGATCAGCTTCCCTGGGGAAAATGGCTGCTTTGAAGGGTGGACGCTATGGCATTGTACCATGCTGAGGCCCCTCTCCTCCCCTAACCCTGCCCTCTTCTGGATCCACCCTCAAAGTCTACAGGTATTTTCCAACACAGACCTGGCAACCCTAAATAGAAATAACTTGATAGGCCCAGAAGGGGCCTTTACTTCCTTTCCTCACAGAGGCACCTGCAGAGTTGATTATTGTCTGATCCCTAAAGAGGTGCTAGGAAGCATCTATAAGTTTAAAGCAGGAGACTAAACTTTCTTCAAATACATTAGAAACAGGAAACCAGCCAGGGACACAGTGGGGCCCTTGGATGACCAAGGGGTAAAAGGAGTACTGAAGGGTGATAGGGAAATGGCTGAGAAGCTAAATGCATTTTTTGTGGAAGATGAGAAGTGCTTGCCCACTCCAGAACCGCTGATTTCAGGAGGGGTGTTGAAAGACCTGAGTCAGATTGAGGTGATGAGAGAGGAGATCCTAAAACTGATAGAGAACATAAAAAGTGATAAATCACCAGGCCCAGATGGCATACATCCAAGAGTTCTGAAAGAACTCAAATGTGAACTTATGGATCTCCTGAAAAAAATATGTAATCTTTCCTTAAAATCTGCCTCCATTCCTGAGGACTGTAAGGTAGCGAATGTCACTCCCATCTTTAAAAAGGGTTCAAGAGGAGATCTGGGAAATTAAAGGCCAGCCAGTCTGATGTCGATACCGGGTAAATTGGTGGAAACCATTATTAAGGAAAGAATTAGTAGGCACATAGATGAACAAAACCTATTGAGGCAGACTCAGCATGGGTTCTGTAAGGGAAGATCTTGTATCACTAACCTGTTAATGTTCTTTGAGGGGGTGAACAAACATGTGGACAAGAGAGGCCCAATAGATACTGTTTACCTTGACTTTCAGAAAGTTTTTGATAAAGTTCCTCATCAAAGGCTCCTAAGTAAGCTCAGAAATCATGGGATAAAAGGATTACTGGCTAATTAATAGAAAACAGAGAGTGAGTACAAATCTGGCAATTTTCACAGTGGGGTACTTCAGGGATCAGTACTTGGTCTGATGCTTTTTAACTTGTTTATTAATGATTTGGAGTTGGGAGTAAGCAGTGAAGTGGCTAAATTTGCGGATGATACGAAGTTGTTCAGGGTGGTGAAAACCAGTGAGGATTGTGAGGCACTCCAAAGGGATCTGTCAAAGATGGGCAAGTGGGCGTCAACATGGCAAATGGGGTTCAATGTGGCCAAGTGCAAGGTGATGCACATTGGAGCCAAAAATCCTAAATATAAATACACATTGATGGGGTCTGAACTGGCAGAGACAGATCAAGAGAGAGATCTTGGAGTTGTAGTAGATAACTCACTGAAAATGTCGAGACAGTGTGTGACTGCAATAAAGAAGGCAAATGCTATGCTGGGGATTATTAGGAAGGGTATTGAAAACAGATCAGCCAATATAATAATGCCCCTATATAAATCAATGGTGAGACCTCATTTGGAATACTGTGTGCAATTCTGGTCACCACACCTTAAAAAGGATATTATAGCTTTGGAAAAAGTGCAGAAAAGAGCAACTCGAATGATAAAAGGGTTGGAACACTTTCCCTATGAGGAAAGGTTAAAGCGCTTAGGGCTCTTTAGCTTGGAGAAAAGACGACTGAGGGGTGACATGATCGAGGTTTATAAGATTATGCATGGGAAAGAGCAGGTAAAGAAAGAGGTACTTTTCTCCCTTTCTCACAATACAAGAACCCGTGGGCACTCCATGAAATTGCTGAGCGGTCGGGTTAGAACGGATAAAAGGAAGTACTTCTTCACCCAAAGAGTGATTAACACTTGGAATTCACTGCCACAGGAAGTGGTGGCAGCTACAAGCATGGACGGCTTCAAAAGGGAATTAGATAAGCATATGGAGCAGAGGTCCATCAGTGGCTATTAGCCAGAAGGTATAGATAGGAACTCTGGGGCAAGTGATGCTCTGTTTTCTTGGTGCTTGGGCGGGGGGGGTCAACAGTGGGAGGGCTTCTAATGTCCTGGCCCCACTGCTGGACCTCCTGATGGCACCTGGTATTTTTGGCCACTGCGTGACAGAGTGTTGGACTGGATGGGCTTTTGGTCTGATCCAACACTGATGTCTCTTATGTTCTTATGACTTTTTAGGGAGAGATTGTCTTCCATTTTCTCTAATTTTGACTGAGGATAAACAAGCTGTTAAACTACCTTCTTTAGTTTCCCATCCTGAACAGATTAAACAGGGATTAAGAGTAAATAAATACCACCATCTTTAGCTCAAGAGATTAAATCTCTAATTTACTCCCAGAAGTGTCATGCTTTATGATGAGAATGTGTCTTAGCTAATGATGTTTCAAGCATTTATGATATCTTAAATCAGAACATAGATCTATGTAAGATACATGCTGTTGCCAGAGTAGCATTGGCAATCAAGTGGAAAGCTGAAGAATGCCCAACCTATGAGAACTGGAAGGACAAATTGGCTGAATATGTGATAATGGCAAGCCTAACAAACTATATAAATAAAAAATAAATTATGGAATTTTAGGAGAAATGGAAAGCCTATTGTGCTTACTTTGATAAGGGTTGAAAGGGGGGAAGTGAATATCAGTTGCTTGGTCTGATTAGCAGTGATATAATACTGTTTATTGTTTGATGTTTTCATCAAAAGTTATACATTGGTTTGTTTTCCAGTGACTGCGAGCTTGCACGGTCAAGACTGAAGCAGCCTCCGTGTCTGAGCTCCTAAAAACGCCAAAACAAGATTAATTAAGGACTCCAAAGATAATAGTTGTTTGCTGAGAGGAATGGGAAAGCCAATAGGAGGCAAAGGAGGGGGGGAACCCAAAGAACCTTAAGAAGCAGAGAGAACTATGCAAACTTCGGAGGAGGAGTCTCCCCCCCCTTGATGGAAGCTGACTCAGATGAAGCAGCAGGAGCCCAAATGGGCAAAAGAAAATGTGAGGACTCTATAACATAAAAAGACATTCAAGCTATGTTCTCAGAGATGAAAAAAGAACTGAAGGAAATTATCACCCCAATTCATCAAAAGCTCGACTCCATGAACCAGAATATAACCGACTTGAAAGATAAAACAGACAAAGCATTGTCTGTGGCAGCTGTAAATTCAAAAGCAATAGAAAAATTAAGGACTTTTGAAAGATGGAGCAGTAGTAAAATTATACTCTTGGGCATCGAAGCCCCTGAAAGGAAAATTAAACTTAGGGGAATTTCCCCAAATTTTGTAATGGATAAAGATCTCACGATTGTTTTAAATGAATGGCTCCAAACCCTGTTGCAACTTCTGGCTCCACTGATTAGTCAAGCATACCATTTGAATCCACCGCAATCTGGCTCTCCTGCTTTGATCCCTGACATAAGGTTGAACTAATTGACATTAAAGCAAAGAAGATCATGTTAGAAGCTGCCAGGATGAATAGTGGACTTCAACTATATCAAGTATATCAAGACTTACCATATGAGATTTTAACAGCACGCCGGGACCTGAAACCAATTGCACAATGCGTAGCAGAAAGACACATTCACTATCGCTGGCTCCCGTTGGGGCACCTTTCAATAAACCATAAAGGCAGAGCCTTCACTGTTCATGATGTCAAATATGGGGAAGATATGTTAAGAACTCTAGAAAAAGAGGCTATATAATAAAACTTAATAGAGATCTGGTCCATGGGGCCGCGAAGAGTCGGACTCGACTGTGCGACTGAACAACAATAGAGATGAGCCCTAAGGACTATACAAGAACTTTCAAGAGCTTCTGATAACATTTGGAGGCCCCTAAGAGAGAGAAGTAGGATTAAACATTTATATGATCAGAGCAGGGTGGGTGAGGCATTCAGGAGGAATTCCCCCACAACCTCTCACAGGGTGGGGTCTTAGGCAAAGATCCCCTTCGGATCCTTCCGAAGCACCAAAGTGAGGTGATAACCTCCAAGAACTCCACTATGAAGAAATAGATATTGTTTTAAATTATTGCAATTAAAGATTATAAAACTTAGAAGAAAGAATACTAGGAGAAACAGTTTGCGGTTCATGGTAAATGCCTAAGAAATAATAAAGTAATTATTAGTTATCTGTTTACTAAATTATGTATTATTTGTCTAGGAGTTCGAGGAGATGATAGAAATTGTTTAACAAGCATTCACTGGTAGTGAATAAGAAAACAAATTTGTTTACCTATACATATATTAAGTAGACACTGGCAGTGCCATAGTGTATAATTGGAAGAAACACAATTGTTGTAATCTTTATTGTAATCGTATAATAGTAATATGGTTGGGGGGGAAACTAATTTCCATATTTTTTTTTGAAATTTCTATATCTGATACATATATGTCTAGCATGTTATTAATATCTAAAGTACCTACATTACAATCTACATAGCTACTCATTTTATATGAAATATATTATAATTATCTAAACAATCTTTGATGTTTGTGAATGTTTCAAAATGTTCTTTTTTATATGAGCAATCCCCTTTCCCCATTTTTTCTGTACCCTATTTCCTTTTCTTTCTTTCTTTTGCTTTAAAAATAAAAAAGAACATAGAACTATTTAAACCTGTTTATCAGTTAATCTATTTCAATCAACGAAAAGAATGACTGGTTTGATTTTGAACAATCAACTCACCTGAGGAAATCCTAGGGTATTTAGTCTGAGGGGATCAGAATATACTTTAGCCAATCTCATGTTGGCTGGAAAAGATTGGAAACAATTGGTAATACCATTGTTAAAGAAGGATGAGTTTATGAGCAATTTCTTTTCTATTCTGAGATAAGGATCCAAATATTACTAAATCCAGATACATAGATGAGAAAGAGAGATAGAGAGAGAGATATGAATAAAAGGATGAGGATATGAAGAGAAAGAGTATAGCTTTCCTTGAATCACTCAGAGTGGCCCCTGAGAAGAGCCCACAATCTGCACCTGGTTAAAACTTGTTTGCCACACAATTCTGTCCTCAAGGAGGATGAATGCTTGTCTTTCCAGAGCTTTGGAATTCACACTTCCAACTCTCACTGTAGCAAAAGTCTTGTTTGGGAACATGACCAAGTTCATGATATCAAATCCATCTCCCATTTCCCTATTATCCTCAAAAGTCACAAGTTCACCTGCTGAGTTGTTAAACGAAATGCCTTGAAGAAATGGGTGTAGCTGGTTGAAAGAAAAAAGAAAGCAACAATGTTATAGTCTTTATGTTGAGATTATAAATATTCCTAGTCACTTTAGGAAATTTCATGTTGAACAGTTGGACAATGCAGCAGCTTCACAATGTGAGAAGAATAAAAATCCATGGTTAATCTTTTTTTTTCAGCCTGACTCTCTTTTTTCCATTGGATTCTGTGTGTATGTCCGCTCACTAATCATTCATGTTCCCTTATTTTGTGCCAAGGTGTCCATGACCATACCTGCCAAGGATGGAGATGGTGGAATTCAAGGTTTTTGCCCCATAATATTTCTCTGTGATTGGACATAGATGTGCACATGGTATGTAAAGCATATGCCATGGCATAGATAGCATTGTAGATGCTGTAGCTGTGGCCCGTCATGCGCATTTCAAAACTATGCCCTGGAAGGCTGTCCAGCCACTCCTCCCCAGTACATAATGTATCTTCCACCTCTGCCTCATGGGAATCTAGTAATGAGCAACCAAATGCCTGTTCCCAAAATTCCTTGAGAAACCCATCTTTTTGTTCCCAATATGGTTTAATTTTCTTTAGAAAGTTTTGGAAACCTAAAGGTTCATTTGAGTGAATTCTGAAGGAAAGTGCACCTTGGAAGACCCGGAAATCCCAGTTCCGCTGAATGCCTGTTAATGCAAAATCAACTTGGGCTGTTATAATCCACACCTTTCTAAATGATGTATTTTCCTTAGAGCTATGGTCTGCTAGAAACAGAAAACCATTCAGTGATATGATTGTCCTTGATTCTCCATAGAAGATAAATGTACTGGCTTTGGTATCTCTGAAAGGCAGATATATAGTTGACATAAAATTATGAAGTTCATGCAAGGTATCCCAATTGATTTGGTTTGGGATTCTTTTTGTGAATGCCAGACAGATTCCATGCTTGGAAAATAATGGCTCCAGGGCTTGAAAGAAATGTTCTCCGCTGTCATCATCCACAGCAAAGAGACCAACCCATGTCCACCCAAAATACTGAAGTAATTGGATAATTCCTGTGTATTGCTGTGCTTCATTTGGGCCCATGCGGTAAAAGGAAGGGAACTGTGTCGTAGTAATCTCCTCTTGGGCAAATGACCCATAGGCAACCTGAAAAGAAATGCACAGGTATTTGAATACATTTGTAGAGAAGAATGTCTATCTGTTCCTGTGCCTGTTTATGCTGTGAATATTTGCCAAAGGAAGTTTCAGATTATCCCAGAATCAAATTCAAAGTCCAAATCAACTATCCTATCACTGAGGTTTGTTCCTTTTCAGCATTCCGTCCCACAGAATATATCCTAGCAGCTGCTTCTACAGCCTTTCTTCCATGCTGTTTCATATGCTCCAAGGATTTTGGACAGGCACTGCTTCGATCAATAAGTTACATTTCCAGCTTGTAGATACGGTTCATCATAAATAAGGATTGTGGTAGCATAGGAAATACTAGGTTTTCCTCCCCCAGCATAAATACAATTCCCATGAAGTAATGTCAGAATATGCATGTGTGAGTTTTTCCAAAATCAAATAGCTAACCTGCCTTTGATGTTAATAAACCACAAGTCAGGCACCATAAAGAGCCTTGGGAGACACCTCACACAGTCACTAATGGTGAAATGTTAATGTTTCATGACTTTAAATACTGAGGCAATGGCCGTGGTTTGTGTAGATGCACAGTATGAAAATTCGCATACCCTATTTCCCCAGGACAAAGACATTTCAAAGGCAAAGGAAAGATTTGCTGAAAGTTTGACTGGCTCTAATGTAGGGCTGTGCTTCAAGCAAAAGTGGTTATCTGAGCATCCACATCAAAGGCTGTTCTCTCTGAATTTCCTCAAGGTGTGGTAATATAATGCAGTTGGTGGCAAATGATCAAGATAACAAGATTTCAAACAAGACCTTACTCAAGACTTAGTTCTATCTCCTTTTTTCTTTCATGCACCAGGCAAGATTTCTTTTGTCTGTTTATCCTCCTTCTGAACCTCAAAATAACAACCAGAAAGGAAAGTGTAATTTGAAAGCACTCCACACATAAATCTTACCTGTGGTATCTTGTAAAGACTTAAGATGTCTGCCATATGGAAGGAGATGTCAAAACTAAGTCCCCCAATGATAGCCATTACATTTTTCTGGATACCACATTCATAGTTGGGAAAATATTTGCTCAATTGGAAGAGGAGATGAAGCATGGCATGATAGGTCATTTGGATATTGTAGTAGCTGTCACAAATGTGGAACCCAAGAGTGACATTGGGCAGGATCTTGGGGTTCTGGTTGATTTCATCTACAGCAAACACCAAAGCCAGGACATGCTGGTAGAACTTTGTCAGCATGCTGTAAACAGAATAGCATCTTCTTTAGTAGGAAAATTCTTTGATGGTTTAAAACAATCTTCTTTTTGAGTTACTCCAGTGTAAGTTAATTAGAATTGCTATTGCTGTCTTGTGAGCAAGGAAACTTATTCTTCTTCAAATCCAGTAACATTTGTTGGACACTAGAACATCAATACTGTGTAACAGCCAGTTCTCCGACAATATGTTATCAAGCATTTAAAATGTACCTTAGCAGCTACAGCACTTAAAATAAGACAGAATGCAGTGCACAATGACTTGAGGTTCATGTGTTTGCAATGAACAAGATGCAGCCATTCCTTTCTCAGAGATTGTTTTCTCGTGAACCTCAGGAATGGAGCAGCAAAACCTTTAGCAGATGAGGACATAAGAAAAGTCCTGCTGGATTACACCAAGGGTGCATACATACTGTCTCACACAGCAGCCATCCAGTTGCCCTGGAGGGCCAAAAACAGGGCACAGAGTCCAAGGCCTTCTGCTAATCTTTCTAGCACTGGTATTCCAAGTGTTACTGCCTCTGAATGTGAAGGTTCCCTTCAGTCACCATGGCTAGTACTTATTGATTGACCTGTCCTTCATTAATCTGACTAATCCCTTTAAAACCATCAGTGCAGGTGACCATCACTATGTCCACTACCACTGAATTCCACAAGTCAATTACTTGTTGAGTGAAGAATTCCTTCCCTTTTTCATCCTTAATCTATTGCCCATCAACTTCATTGGGTCCTCCTTACTGCAAGTATTAATGGTTATGAGTATTATGAGAGCAAGAAATAGAAAATCTACTTCCTCTACTTTATGCATAATCTTATGAACTACAGAGGGCTCCAGCATCACACAGTAACTCTATTGTCCTTTTGACAGAGTATCTATAGTGGCTACTTACGGGAATATGGTAAAAAGTTTTAGATTTCTTTTTTTAAAAGAGCCCTATTTACAGCTTTCCCCGTACTTTTATATTTGAATATATATAATGCATTCTGAAGGGGTTCCTTGTTCCTTTTATTTTATTTAGTATTTTACAATCTTATAAGTTTGCACTCTATAGTAATTGCATGCAAGGAGATCAAATCAGTCAATCCTAAAGGAAATCAACCCTGACTGTTCCCTGGAAGGCCAGATACTGAAGCTGAAGCTCAAATACTTTGGCCACCAATTGAGAAGGGAGCACTCATTGGCGTGCCTGATTCTGGGAATTATTGAAGGTAAAAGAAGAAGGGGCGGCAAAGGATGAGATGGTTAAACTTTGTTATCAATACAACGAACACAAAATTGAGCAAACTCTGGTGGATGACAGAAGACAGGAGGGCCTGGTGTCTAAGCTGTGGAGTCTAGTGAGCAAAAATTCTGCTTTGTGAGGAACTGGCATTAGCATTGTGAAAGAGCAATTTGGCTACTGCATAAATTAGTTTGCTCTGGTGCCATCCTTCCTGAGCTAAGACAAAAATCTGTGATCTGGAGGCTAAAAAACTGTGAACTAGCTCACACTAACTCATCTTAGAGGGAACATTGCCTGGCGTGATGTGGTCCATGGGGTCGCAAAGAGTCAGACAACAACAACAATTCACTCTGAATTTGGTGAGGATAACAAGTGGGTGGTACAAGCCTATAGTTACGGAAGTCTAAACCCATTTTAGTTTCTCTCTCTTTCTTTCCTTCCCCCACTTCAACCCAGCCTTCAAAATATGAAAAACTCTCACTCTGGGAGAAGAAACTCCCATATACTATCAACATAGCAAACACTTCAACAATCCTGTCAAGAACAGTTGCTAGGATCTTTGATCTGGCCAGGCTTATATGATGCAAGTAAGGCATGGAAATGCTTACTCTGGAAAGTTAGAGCCGTCTGAAGGATGCCCTTTGAAAAGAATTGTGTGAAGAGGGTAAACCATCTGAGAAACAATCCCACCAACGAGGATGTCCCCGAGCTGATAGAAGTCATGTGGAACTGGAATGGGTTCATTCCTATGATACTTCCAAGTATCTATTTGATATGCCATGGGCAGGAACAGAATCAGCAAGATCACAAGCTTCACCATCCCGGCAGCAAACTTCTCCAGATACAGACTCTCTTGTGCCCACCTTCCCTTGGGTGAAGGCTGCCTGCCACCGTATGTCCCTTAAATGGAAATGCACTGGCCTTATTTCTACCAGCAAACACACATGATTTGAAAGAGAGTTGAGGCTGGACTTACACCAGTCTCAAGGCTGACTGCTCCAAACCAAGTATGAAAGATGGGACTGACAGCTCCCTCTGCCTTCCTCTTGCACTCATTTTTAATAGCACATGGGTGAGGGCATTTGTCACCTATTTCAGACTTGTTTACCAGTACTGATGCTACCTCGGTTATGAGGAAAGATTGCAGTGGTGTGGCAAATTGCAGAGGGAGATAATCACCATCTGCAGAGTTTGAGCGCTGAGGGGAAACTTTGGTAGCAGACACATAAGGTGGTACGGTTTGAAAACAACGTAAAGAAATATTATATGTACTCAAATGCAAGACTAGGCTTATTTATTTTCAGATATGCCATACAGAGATTGATGATGATAGATAGATAAATCGATCCATAGTCACAGATTTTTAAATTTAAGTATACCGCTTTTGGTTTTATCCCATATTTCTTATTCAAATGTTTTTAGAAGAGAGAAGAAGAGATTGGATTTATACCCCGCCCTTCAATTGGAGTCTCAGGGCCGCTTACAAACTCCTTTCCCTTCCCCTTCCCACAACAGACACCCTGTGAGGCGGGTGGGGCTGAGAGAACTCTGACACAAACTGCTCTTTTTCAAGGACAGCTGTGCCGGAGCTTGTGACTGACCCAAGGTCACACCAGCAGGTGCATGTGGAGGAGTGGGGGATCAAACCCGGTTCTCCCAGATTAGAGTCCGCGCACTTAACCACTACACCAAACTGGCTTTTATGTAAAATGATTGAGTGCACTGGTCGGTAAGAGTAAATTTGATTTTAAGTTTAGATTTGATAGATAGATCTGTATGGTTACTATCTATATATGATGAATAATTATGCTGCAGTTCTTCAGAGGCTAACGTGATATTCATGAAGGTGAACAGGTTCTCAGCCACTGCACTCCAGCATAGATCACCTAAATCCTTATATGTGAATTCTATCCCATTCACTTTAGTGGATAACAAGGATGCAGACATCTCTTGCCATAGGATAATCTCTCTCCCCCCCCTTTTACCATTAGTTTCTGCTCCTGTGTGGCCCCGGTCACACGGGCAGGAAACTGCGGGGGGGAAGCGTGGCTATTTGCCCCGGGGCAAACTAACACGCAGTAAAGCGATCAAACCTCCTGTGGAGGTTCTGTGGAGGTACCGTGGAGCTTCCGTGGTTACGGAGAGGCGTCGATCACAACACACGCCTGCGCGCAACGAAGAAGTGTGCGGCGCGGCGAACTGGTTTTCTTTTTTTGTGTACACTACGAATGTGCATGCTCGGTTGGGTGCGTGTGCGCAACCACTGAGACTTGGGGGAAAAAAAACACCTTCTTCGCAAGGGGACATGGGCGGGCGCTGGATGCCACCGGAAACGTGATCAGACGCCCGCCCTTGCCCCGCAGTTTCCGGAAACTAGTACCTCCGAGGTACTAGTTTTTTGCTGCGCGTTTTCGGGAGGAAGCCTCCGTTGTGCCACGGAAGCGCTACGCTCCCCAGATGTGCTGGTGAGATCGCGCCCGGAAACTCCGCCTGTCTTCCGTATCTCTTGCGTGGCTAATGCTGCGTGTGACCGCAGCCTAAGTTTAACAGCCATTTGTTATGGAGACATTAGTAGGTGAGCTTTGCTTCCTGATTCCTGCAGATCAAACTGCAACTTGTCTTTGCACATGAGCTGGGCAGCCACTCCCCCCCCCCCCAGCAATCATTGGGAACTTTTACCCACAAGGAACCGGAATGAGACGTAGTGAGGGACTAGGAGGATTTATTTGTAGATCCTCTGTAAAACATAGGCCTCCCCCCCCCGGGGGGGGGGGGGGACAAGCTAGCTAACAACAACAAAAAATTAAAAGAACAAGAAAAGGCATTCCTAAGAAATGAAAATGGCATAATCAGATTACCTCCCAAAAACATAAAAAACAAAAAGAAGTAGTAAAACACAGTCAGTAAAAACAACATCCATAACACAACATAACACACAATGGATAAAAAAATCTAAACAAAACCATCACACAGATACCAGTCGAAAACTAATAAAATCTTCAGCATACAATTGGGATCAGGAGATCAGTTTAAATTAAACACATGTGTAAAGTGTCTTCAGGTCCCAGTTGATTTATGGCAACCCCATGTGGTTTTCAAGGCAAGGACGAACAAGGGTAGTGGTCTGTTATTGCCTGCCTCTGCCTAGCAACCCTGGACTTCTCTGGTGTCCTCCCATCCAAACAGAAGCCAGGTCTGACCCTGTTCAGCTTCCCATATTTGCCAAGGTAAGTCTAACCTGGGCCATCCAAGTGAGAGCTTAAATTACATAGGGACAGCTATAAGAAGACTCTGGGCTATGAGGATGTCTTTGCCTGAAAGCTTGCAAGTCTGGTATTGGGTGAACTTCTTTGGGAAAGGAGTTCCAAATACTTGATAACAGCACACAAGAGGACCTGTTCCCTAAAGCACACCTTGGTTCTGACCAGTGTTCCCTCTAAGCTGAGTTAGTGTGAGCTAGTTTAGCCTTCGGCTCACACATTTTTTCTCTTAGCTCAGGAAGGATGGCTCCAGAGCAAACTAATTTATGCAATAGCCAAATCACTCACTCACAACTTTAATGCCAGTAGCTGACAAAGCTGAATTTTTGCTCATAAGTCTCCACAGCTTAGCAGGAGCATTGGATTTAGTTGCTAGTTGGATGGTAGGTAGAGTTGCCAGGTCTGGGTTGGAAAATACCAGGAGACCTTGGGGGTGGAGCCAGGAGAAGGTGTTGTTTAGGGAGGGGAGGGGCCTCAGCATGGTACAATGCCATAGAGTTCACCCTTCAGAGCAGACATTTTTCTCCAGGGGAGCTGATCTCTGTCAGCTGGAGATCAGTTGTAAAAGCAGAAGATCTCCAGGCCCCACCTGGAGGCTGGCAACCCTAAAGGTAGAAGATCCCAAATGGCAGTGCCTGTATTTGTACAGCTATGGCTTCTTCAGACAATCAGCCTAGATGTTCTCCAGCTCAGCAGAACCCTGGGGAATCCCCCTTTTCCTGTTTGTCATTTTGAATTATTGAGGGATTATTGCAGACGCCTCTCCTGATTTCTGTCTTTCTTTCAGCAAAACAATGTATGTGAATTAGGAGGCTAGCTGGATGTGTATCTGTCATAGTATCTCTTACAATGTGGAACCCACATCAATTATTGCTGCAATATTACAGTTTCCCTTCACCAAGAACCTTCCAAATTTGGCCTCTGAAGAAGTTAACACCCCCCCTCCAATCCTATGACACAGCTGAGGCCATGACATTTTGGCTGAATCTCCTATGTTTTATTCTATATATTTCATTTGTACCCATTTTCTACCCAGAGGGAAATCCCCAAGCCGCCTAGATTGTTCTCCTCCTTTTTGTTTCGTAATTAGTCCCTTTTATAAAAAAATTAACTAGTGCTCTCTCAAGTGAAGTTTCTCTCCTTCAAAAACAGCAGGGGCATTTACTCTTTCTCCACGCACACACTGACACCTGATTCTTAGTTTCCCCTTTTTTTACAGGTTGTCCTGTGAAGTTTAGCTGTAGAAAACCTATGGTTGCCAGGTCAGGTGTGGAAAATACCTGGAGACTTTGGGGGTGGATCTAGGAGATGCCAGGGTTTGAGGAGGGGAGAGACCTCAGCATGGTACAATGCCATAGAGTTCACCCTTCAAAGCAGCCATTTTATCCAGAGGAGCTGATCTCTGTCAGCCAGAAATCAGTTATAAAAGCAGAAGATCTCCAGGCCCCACCTGGAGGCTGGCAACCCTACGAAGATCAGCGTGGGTCTTGCAATCCTCCCACCATTCCTGTAAGATTTCAGGGTTCACCTTTATGAGACTATGCAATGAACTACATACATCAAACTCTGAGGTAAGGAGGATCAGAAAATCAGGAGTGTTCCCTCTACCAAAGATTGCTTCTAACAGCCTCTTTATACTTTGTGTTCCTATAGGAAGGACTCAAGCAAATCCCTTCAGGATATGGCTGGATATGTAGAGCCCCTGTTCAGAAGGACTCTCAAATTTACGACCCACATTTCTTCATTAACCCGAAGACTCATTATTTCTGCCTGTCAAGGACATTTCTTCATGAACATCATGAAACAAATTCTTTTATTCTTGCTTTCTTTGCTTAATATGCTGATTAAATAACATGCTCTATTTGTTACTATCTTCACTTTTCCCAAGAGGCCTTCTCAGACGTTCAGCTCACTTTTGGTGTAGTGTTTTTTTGGTGTAGTGGTGTAGTAGCCAGTTTGGTGTAGTGGTTAAGTGCACGGACTCTAATCTGGGAGAACCGGGTTTGATTCCCCACTCCTCCACATGCACCTGGTTGGATGACCTTGGGCAAGCCGTAGTTCTGATAAGAGCTGTTCTTGAAAAAGAGCAGTTTCTGTCAGAGCTCTCTCAGCCCCACCTACCTCACAGGGTGTCTGTTGTGGGGAGGGGAAGGGAAAGGAGTTTGTAAGCCACTCTGAGACACCTTTGGGTAGTGAAGGGTGGGGTATAAATCCAATCTCTTCTTCTTCTTTTCTACATCAGAAATTGTTAATCCTGGAAAGATTCTCAGCCACGCCTACTACCTCTCTACATATCACACACCATATCCAGTCACACTTTCTATTGTCATTTGCCTGCTAATGTCATTCAGCATCTGAAATCACTCCACTTTCTAATACATAGGACAGATGGGCTCACATTCTAGCTGTATCTGAAGAAGTGAGCAGTGACTCATGAAAGCTCCTCCCCTGCCACAAATGTTGTTTGTCTTTAAGGTGCTCCTGGACTCTTGCGCTTTTCTACTGCTACAGACAGACTAACATGCATTGATGTTAAAACTGAAATTTTTCCACAGTAGAAACAAATGCAGACAAGGTATTTAAAAAACAAACAAACGAATGCCATTTTCTCTCAGTGGAAAGAACTGCACCTGCTTTGAGAGGGGTCTTTTGGGGGCATCTGTATAATTGAACCCCTTTGCTCCAATTCACTTGAAATTTGGGAGTATTTAGATTACATGAGTGACTATCTTGGAGCAAATTGGTGTCATGATATTTATAAAAAGCTGCTCCAGACACTTCAATAGATTCCACTTTAAAAATAAAGGTCCAAAAGCATTGTAAAACCCAGAAAAAACATACTGATTTAAATCCTGAACCAGCAATGTCATGTATGAACATAAAAAATTGTCAAGCCAAGTCTACTATCTTTGATGGAAGTGACACACATTCTGACGAATGGGATATTCACTACCAGAACAATTTGGAGAATTTGCACAGCTACTATCTATGGCCCAACATACTAAGATGTAGCAAATGCAAAGCATATAAGAAAGCAACACCTGGTCTCATATATATATATTCTTTATGCATGTATTTCTGGATGTGTGTCATTGTAAAATAAAGAATATTGAGCACTGAGGAAGGCCCAAAGGGGCCAAAACGCATATGGTCCCTAGGTCAAAGGTTTTACCCATCAATTGGATCTGTATAATAATCAGCTTTGAATTATATCGCTTTGAGTCTGATATTTAGACTATTTCTTTTAACCTTATGTATGTTTTATTCATGTGTACACCTTAATAAGCATTTGTATATTTTAATAATAATTTATTTGTTAGTTTGATCCTCTTAGTTTGCAGCTACATTTTGGGTTGAGTTCCCCTCTTGTTTCAGTTTTTGTCATGATTGAAGAATATTCATAAAAAGACCGCAGTGAGTTTTGTTCCCTTATTCATTTATACATATTACTTATTTGTTCAGTCTTGTAGACAATACTTAAGAAATTAAATGTTGTTTTAAAGTGTATGAAATTGTTGTAGTAGGTCAACTGACTGTCTGAACGTACAATAACAAGCATAAATCATTTTAAATCATTTAATTCTTTCTCCTAATTATCTGGTCTCTGCTATTCAGATCAGGTCTCAGAAGAATGATGTAGCACTTAATAGAAAAGATCCAAGCCAGTAATGCAGCACTGGAGGCCAAGATAGAGAAGATCTCCACAACTACCATATATTTCCCTTTGGTGCTCAGATAGGTTGGAACAAAGGACATCCAAACACTGCAAAAGATCAGCATGCTGAAAGTGATGAATTTGGCTTCATTAAAATTGTTCGGCAACTTCCTGGCAAAGAAAGCAACAGCCAAGCTTATGAGAGACAATAGTCCCAAGTAACCCAGGACAATATAAAACATGACCACAGACCCTTCATTACATGCTGCCACAGTCTTCTTAGCCACAGAATGCATGTCTAAATCTGGGAAGGGGGGAGAGGTTCCCAGCCACACTGTACAGATGCCTGCTTGCACAAGGGAGCAGGAAAGGACAATGGAGTTGGCCAGTCTTTTCCCAACCCACTTCCTCAGGCGTGATCCTGGTTTGGTGGCCATAAAAGCTAGAACCACAGTGATGGTTTTGGCCAACACACAAGAAAGAGCCACCGAAAAGACGATCCCAAAAGCAGATTGTCGGATAAAGCAGGTCACAGTGCTTGGTTTTCCAAGAAAGAGCAAAGAACAGAGGAAGCAGAGAAGAAGGGAGAAGAGGAGAACATAGGTGATGTCTCGGTTGTTGGCCTTGACTATGGGGGTATCTTTGTTCTTAATGAAAACTCCTAGCACGAAGGATGTGATCAGGAAACAAGAAACAGCGAGCAAAGCTAAACCAACCCCTAAAGGTTCTTCAAATGCCAAGAAGGTTATCACTTTGTTGATACATCCATCTTTGTCTTTGCTTGAATACTGATCTTCTGGACATTTGATACAATTAACCATATCTGTAAGGAAAGAAAGAAAAAAAACAGAAAGAGGGATCATCCCTGGATATATGAACCTGACTTACACTTAGTCAGGCCATTGCTTTGGATGTTGACTGTTATGTACTAAGATGGCCACAGCTGCACTAGCCAGGCCACGTGGTCAAGCAGGCCTTCGATCCCTAAAACAATAGCTACGGCGGATCCTAGTGCACACCAATAAGGTTGCCCGGATCCTGATGTAGACCTATTATAGACGAGTTCTTGTAAATACAGCCTATCACAGGAATTGGGTGTGTGTTGGGTATGTATGTGGACACGCATATAATCTCACCTCAGACTGGCTGATCATATATGTCCCTGTTGCAATGAGGGAATTTGCCTGGTTAGCTGTAAGGACTGGAGAGCTGCTAGTGGAAGGTGAATAGATGTAATTTGTTATAGGATTTAACATGTCTTACTTGCACACGCTATTTGATATTTCATTTTATACATCTCATTTATGTTTGTGGTTTTATGAATTTTGACAACTTTAGTTTGACTACTGTATTAGAGTGCTGGATTTTTCTGTGAACAAATTTGTTTGTTTGAGCCAGGCCATAGGTTTATGAAAGTCAGCATTGCACTCTTTGATTGAAGACACCTCTCCAAATAGAGACATCTTTCATGTCACCTGCTGACTTTCATCAGGAGACACTGAAGTTTCAGTCTGGGACTATCTCCATGCAAGGCAGATGCTCTACCACTGAGCCACCGACTCTTTCATTAAAGCTTGTGGTTGAGCTGGGGACCTTTACCTCTTCATTCTGTCACTCTACTAAATCACACAATGTATTTGCCAGCATCACCTTTTTGTGAAGACTGAACCTATCATTCCGAATTGTTACAGGGTTCCCTTTCTCCTGCCCATTTACGTTTCAGCTTATATGACAGATGTTTTTTGAAGCCAATCTTTGTTTTAAGAGTAGTCTGGCATTCTTCCCATGCCATTTAAACGCCTTCTTCTATGTGTAGAGGGATGTGGAATGGTATAGTGTAGCCCAATCTTGTCAGACCTTGGAAGCTAGGCAGGGTTATTTCTTTGATGGGATACAACCAAGGAAGACTGAAGGCAAAGGCAAACTATCTATGCTACTCAATCAACTTGAATGCCCATTGCTGGGGTCAATGCCAGATGTCAGTTGTGCCAAAAGTTTATAAAGGTTCTTTTAGATTTCCAATATTAAATCCTTAAAGCTTTTCAGGCAATCTAATGCATATTTATGTTTATTTTAAATATTTTGCCCTCCTTTATCCTGCCCACCTATCACCCCTTGCCATCACAGGCTCAGCTTTATTGATTGATTGATCAAATTTCTACCCCGCCCTTCCAGCCAAGGCTGGCTCAGGGCAACTTACAAAAAACAACATAACATTTGCAAAATACATAAAATATAAGTTAGACAACAATAGTTTCTACTGCATTTCCAGTTACATTCTACGCAGGCATATTCCAAGACCCCTGATTTCTACTGGTCTAGACTCCTGGGAGTCTGCATAGGATTTCATCGTATACCACCTACCTTGTTGGCTTGAAATCTTCCCTTCTGGGCAAGGAACACAGTCATAGCAACAGAATTTCTCCCCTTCTTTCTTTTTCTTTTGGGTACCAGGGTGGCAGTAGCCGTTACACACAGAAATGGGCCGTCCCTATTTAAAAGCAAGAAGTATGGTGGGAGAAACTAAACATTAACAACTGTTTATGTGAGCAGTAAAAAAGGTAATAATAACAAACATTGGATTATAATAATTCTAACAATCAGGTAGTATTTCTTCATTGGTGGCTGAAAGTACTTTTTGCAACCTCTACTTTGTAGGGTGCTATCCTACAGGTGGGCCTGGGTGTTGTCACAGAATTACAACTGATCCCCAGCCTACAAAATGCATGAACACATGAAGCTTCCTAACTGACATATGGACATATGGGAGCAGTGGCACAGTGGGAATATCCCACTGCCTTAACACCCGAACTGTGTCAGTTCGAGCCCCGCACTGGGGGGAGCAGCCAGCCGGCGATACATAGAAATTCCAGGGATTGAACCTGTGACCCTTGCCCCAATCCTGTCATCTTGCTCACCAGAATACTTCATATTTTCTATAAAGATATCATTTAATAGTGGTGATGGCATATTTCAGGGTAAGGAAAGTGAATCTCAGCATACTGATGTGACATAATAGGAGGTGTTCTTAACTACAACAAGATTTAATATGACACATAACTGTGTGTAATATATAATGAATGCCAATGAGATGCACAGGGTTGAAGACCTTTCCTATGAGGAAAACCTGAAGTGTCGGGGTCATTTTAGTGGATAAAAGATACATCTGAAGGGGAACAAGAAAGAGGTTGTTAAAATTATCCATGGGGTAGAGAGACTGGAAAAATAGATGAACAAAAGGAAATCACTTTGAGCCCACTTGTGGGGAATAAATCGAAAGCATTATCATTATCATTATCATTGACCCTTGTTCCATTGGAGTCAGTACTGTCTCCTCAGACTGGCAGCTGCTCATCAGGTTTTTGTGTTTAGATTTTCATGTCACCTCCTGCCAGATACATAGAGATGCCAGGGATTGAACCTGTGACCCTTGCCCCTGTGATCCTGCCATCTTGCTCACCAGAATACTTCATATTTTCTATAAAGATATCATTTAATAGTGGTGATGGCATATTTCAGGGTAAGGAAAGTGAATCTCAGCATACTGGTGTGACATAATAGGAGGTGTTCTTAACTACAACAGGATGTAATATGACACACAACTATGTGTAACACAGAATAAATGTCAATGAGATGCACAGGGTTGAAGACCTTTCCTATGAGGAAAACCTGACGAGTTGGGGTCATTTCAGTGGACAAAAAAAAAATCTGAAGGGGAACAAGAAAGAGGTTGTTAAAATTATCCTTGGGGTAGAAAGACTGGAAAAATAGATGAACAAAAGGAAGTTCTTGTTTACTCAAAGAGTGATTAAATGAGGAGAATGCTGCCACTAGATGTTGTGATGGCCACAGGCATTCATGTCCATATGCATTGGAACAAACTAAATCCATAGTTTCATGTTCTTTGTATTTGCAAAGATTCCAATATCACACCTCCCTGAGATTAAGTCCCGGCTCTTTAGTAATATAAAAGTAAAATGAATTCCTCTCTTGATTATGAAGCTGATCAAAAGCGAAAAGATGAGGATATAAAGAAAAGGAAACCAGCTTTCCCGAGCCAGAGAACGGAGAGGCCTCTGAAAAGGCCCCAAAAGCTGCACCTGGTTGAAATGCGTTTGCCACACAATTCTCTCCTCATGAAGGACGAATACTGGTTCCTTGGCAGCATTGGAATTCACACTTCCTACTTTCACTCTAACAAAAGTCTTGTTTGGGAATGTGACCAAGTTCATGATATTAAATCCATGTCTCATTCCCCTGTTTTTCTTTAAAGACACAGGTTCACCAACTGAGTTGTTAAATGAAATGCCTTGAAGAAATCTGTGAAGCTGTTAGAAAGAACGAAAGAACAGAAAGCTGTAGTCTTAATGCTGGGATTACAAACATTTATAGGACATTTCATGTAGAACTGCTGAACAATGCAGCCATTTCATAGGGTAAGAAGAATAAAATCTATGGCTAATCCTTTTTCAGCACCACACAGGACGAGTTCAGACTGGCAGTTTGTCCCAATATAGGCACGAGCCAGAAACGTTTCACAAATGGATTAAATGGGCCGTTCACAGAGGCACATCTGTCAGGTGTTCCCCCAGCCGTATTCAACCCGTCTTATAATGCTTCCCTCCCGAGTTTAAAAGATACCAGGTGAAAGTGGTATCAAACCCTGGAAAACACGATTATCCCGCATCCATCCCGCTTCCCAGAAGTGTGAACATGAAAAGCCACAATCCGGTAGGGATGCGCTTATGCGCATAAGTGCGCATAACCAAACTACCAGAAAAACCCGCTTACAGCCGCACCTCCGGGCCAACAGTGTGAATGCTCCTTTGTGCCTCCTCCCTAGTATGCTCCCACATCAGTCAGTGCACTGTGATCGGGGAAACCTAGAGTCTGTTCTGGGTCATTCTTGCCATGACTCCCTCCCACTTCAAAGTGTCAGTCTGAAACCAGCCACAACATTCTCTCACTGAATCCTATGCACACCCATTCACTCATAATGCATGTTGCCCCATTTGGCACCAATGCATTCAAGATCTTACCTGCCAAGGATAGAAACGAGGAAATTGAAGTCTTTTGCTCTGAAATATTTTTCTGTATTTGGACATAGAGGTGTGCATGGCATGTAAAGCATGTGCTGTGGCATAAACAGCATTGTAGATGCTGTAACTATGGCCAGTCATACTCATTTCAAAAATATGCCCTGGAAGCCTGTCCAGGCGCTCCTCCCCGGTACACATTGCATCATCATTCTCTGTATCCTGGGGGTCTAGTAATGAACATCCAAATGCTTGTTCCCAAAACTCCTTGAGAAAACCATCTTTGGGTTCCCAATATGGTTTAACTTTCTTCAGAAAGTTGTGGAATTCAAAGGGTTCATTTGAGTGAACTCTGAATGAAAGTGCCCCTTGGAAGAACTGGAAATCCCAGGCTCGCTGAAGGCCTGTTAATGCAAAATCAATTTGGGCTGTCATAATCCACACTTTTCTCAATGACATCTTTTCTGTATAGTTATGACCTGCTAGAAATAGAATACCATTCAAGGATATCATTGTCCTTGATTCTCCATAGAAGATAAATGCACTAGCTTTGCTCTCTCTGAAAGGCAAGTATATATTTGACACCACAGTATAAAGATCATATAGGTTATGCCAATTCACTTGGTTTGGGATTCTCTCTGTGAAGGCCCAACAGATTCCATGCTGGGAAAATAATGGCTCAAGAGTTTGCAAGAAACTATCTCCACTGTCGTCATCCACAGCAAAGAGCCCAACCCAGGTCCATCCGAAATGCTGAAGTAATTTCATAATTCCTGTGCATTGATGGACTTCATTTGGAACCAAGTGGTAAAACAAAGGGGACTGTCTTGTATAACTCTCCTCTTGGGAAAATGAGCCATAGGCGAGCTAAAAGGGAAATCCACAGATATTTCAAGAAATTCATCGAAAGTGCTGCCTATGTGTTCTTGTGCTTGTTTATGCTATGAATATTTGCTGAATGGAGTTTCATAATTTCCCAGAATTAACCCACAGTCCAAACCACCTCTCCTATCACTGAGGTTTGTTCCTTCAATTTACTTCATCCTCCCACCAGACAGAAAATTTCCACACAGCTGCTTCTATAGCCTTTCTTCCATGTTGCTTTATATGCTATCGGATCATGGACAGGTCATGCCTCAATAAATAAGTTCCTTTTTGAACATTTGCTGTAAATAATCTGAAAAACTCTTAATCCTAACAGAAGAATGTAGTTTCCCGTCTCCCTTTAGATACCATGAAGATTGAGGAAGAAAATGTTGTATTTTGTCAGATCCTTAGTTGATATATACATGCACACCATGAGGGAATGGGCTGCCAATATTAATTTATCACTGTACCTTTTTCGTTTTGAGCATGAAAATCATGGGAAGATATCCATGATCCTAATGGTGTCACCATTTGTTCACACAGTATAAAATGTTAATCAATACACAGCTTTATGCCTCATATACCAATAATTGTTCTTGTTGTATAAGGGTATCTATGTATTAGGGACGACGGATGAAGGCCAATGGGCCGAGCCCTGTTTGGTGATGGTTTCTGTGATTGTGGTCTTATTTGTATGCCACCAACTTGTGGAACTTTATTTGTATTGTTTAATGTACACTGTTGAGTACTTAGTCCAGTGGTTTCAGCCTAGAGGTTAACTTCAAGTTCTGTGTTTTTAATGTGTAGTTTAAGTGCCCTGTATAATAACTTGATATATTTTGTTTAATTCATTTTTAACATTATTTGTGATCAACTTTCATGGTGCTGAATTCGATTTTTGGATTCGGTTTGTATACCTCTCCCTTTTTTGGTGTATAGGTTCTCTTTTCCCAACAATTCCCATGAACCAATGTCTGAAGATGGATTTCTGAGTAGCTCATCTGCCCTTGGCAGCTATAAATTCATTTAATTTTTGGATTTTTATTCTGCCCTCCCCGAATGGGCTCAGGGCAGATCACAACAAACAGAAGTCAACAAACCCCAAGCCAGGCACCATTAAATGCATTGGAAGACACCTCACAGAGTCACTAATGCTGAAATGCTAATTTTTCAAGAAATTATATAATGAGTCAATGACAGAGGATTGTGTGGGTCTGTATGAGAACTCACATGTCCTCTTTGCCTGGGATACAAATGGTTCAAACACAAGAAAAGGTTTTGCTGAATCTTTGACTGAATCGAATGTGCTAATATGCTGCAGACCAAAGTGGGTAACCAAGCATCCACAACAAAGACTGTTCTCGCTGAATTTTATCAAGGTGTGGCAATAGAGTGAAGTTTCTAGCAAATACTCATGAGCACAAAATTTCTGACAAGACTTTACAAAAGACTTTGTACTTCCCACTGACCCAGTGAAGCAGCTCTTCCATATCTTTTTTCTTCTTCCTTTTATACATCAGGCTATAATAGATACCTCCCCCTCCTTCAAAACCTCAAAATGACTCCCAGACAAGGAAGTATAATTTTAAAATACTCCATGCACAAATCTTACCTGTGGTATCTTGTAAAGACCCAAGATGTCTGCCATATGGAAGGAGATGTCAGAGCTAAGTCCCCCAATGACTGCCATTACATTCTTCTGAATACCACATTCATAGTTGGGAAAATATCTGCTCGACTGAAAGAGGAGATGCAGAGTGGCACGATAGGTCCTTTGGACACTGTAGTAGCTGTCACAGATGTGGAAACCAAGAGTGGCATTGGGTAAGATCCTGGGGTTCTGGTTGATCTCATCTACAGCAAACACCAAAGCCAGGACATGCTGGTAGTACTTTGTCAGCATGCTGTGAACAGAATTGTATGCTCATTAAGGGGGGGAAATTCTACAATGGTTTGCAACCTTTCTGCCTGTGGTTTGATTTCCTTGGTGTTAGGTAACTACTATTGTTATTTTCTTGTATAAGATAATAAACATATTCTTCATCAGCTCAAATAGCTTTTGGCATATACAAGAAGGTCAATATGTCATCAAGAGTTTAAAATGTACCTAAGCAGCTACAGCACAATGTGTAATCTAGGGTTAATATCTGTGCAATGGGCACGATGCAGCCATTTCCTTCTAAGATGTTTTGCTTTCATAGAACTCAGGGGATAGATTTTTTCACACAGAAGAACATCAGCAGAGCTCTTCTGGATGAGACCAGTGGTCCACATTCCCTGACTTACACAGCTGCTGTTCTGTTGCCCTGATGATCCCAAAACATGGCACAGAGACCAAGGCCGCCTGCTGATCCTGAATCCTAGCAGTGGTATTCCAAGTCCTACTACCTTTGATTTTGGTGATTCATTGAAATTTCTCTCTCTCCCTCTCTCCCTCTCTCCCTCTCTCTCTCTCCCTCCCTCCCTCTCATTTGATTTTGGTGATTCATTGAAATTTCTCTCTCTCTCCTCTCTCTCTCTCTCTCTCTCTCTCTCTCTCACACACACACACACACACACACACATCCCTGTTTTATTCCAGCCTTCAAAATACTAAGAACTCTCATTCTGGGAGAAGAATCCGGCCCCACCCGGCAGAACGCAACAGCTGTACTGCTGGGGGCTTCCTTCACCCCTACTGAAGGAAGGAGACCTCAGGGATGCTGAGTCACAGCATCCGGGCAGCCAGGGGGAGTTGGGGAGTTAAAGGCCAAATCCGCTCCCTTCCCACCTCAGTTGCTGCATTTCTTCTGGCCCACCCTCCCACCCTGTTCGCTGTCCAGGCTTGCTGGTTGCCTGTTTGCAGGGGGGGCCGGGTAGGAAATTTTTCACCTCTGGCTGATTGGTCCGGGTTGGGGATGTTTCTCACCTACTCTGCACAGTCCATCAGCGGGTTGGGGAATCGGCACCAGGGTGGGGCCTGGATGTAGGCTGGTCACTTTATTTGGCAGGGTGGGGGCAGGTGATTGTAATGCAGCTGGGGGAGCACCAATTAACAGTCCCAGTGGGGGCTTGGTGTTTGGCCAGATTAGCATTTGGGTCTAGAGATCCTGGGCTGGAAGGCAGACAACCTTGGGGCTGTGGGGATTGAGCCTCCATTTACGCTATTCCACTTGGTGGGGGGATATCCTTGGCATTGCCGGTTTGTTGTGCCAGATGGATACGAGCAAAAATGTGAGGCCCAATCCAAGGCATGGTGGCTCCCTGTCAAGGTGACCACTGGCCTGGTACATGTTGCAAGACAATGGCCCTTGCTGTTAAGTTAAGTTAATAAAGTGGTCCGTTAGTTTATCAAAAACTTTTGTGTCTGTCTCTTTATTCCAAATATGGGGACAAATATCATAGAAACTGTCAACACAGCAAACACTTTGACCATCCTTTCACTGTCCAGAACAATTGCTAGGGTTAATGATCTGATCAGACTCATATAATTCAAGTGAGGAATGGAAATCCTTACTCTGGATAGGAAAACAAGCCATCTGAGGGATTCTCTTGGAAAAGAAATGTGTGAAGAGGGTAAACAATCTGAGAAACCATCCCACCAACAAGGACATCTCCAGACTGATAGAAGTCATGTGGAACTGGGAGGGGATCACTCATGAGACACTTCCAAACATCGACTTTACACACCATGGAAGGGAGCAGAATCAGCAAGAATGCCAGCTTCGCCATCCTCTCAGCAGACCTCTCTTGTGCTCAGTTTGCTTTAAGTGTTGGCTGCCCAGATCAGCCTGTTTTCTACCGGCAAGATAATAGTCAACACACATGCCTTGAAAGAGAGTTGAAGTTGCTCATGTACCAATCTCATGGCTAATGGATTCAAACCAAGGATGAAAGGCAGAACTAACAGCTCCTTCTGACTCTTTCTTGTGCCCATTTTTAACAGTGCAGGGATGAGGGTATTTATCTCCCCTTTTACAGTTGCTCACTAACACTGAGGCTTCCTTAGTTTAGGAGGGGGGGATGCAGCTGTGTGAGTAATTGCAAAGGGAGATAATTACATGGGAAGAGTCTGAGCTCTAAATGAAATCCTTGGTGGGAAACATATTTATTGGTTTGGTTTGGAAGCAATTGGAAAGATATATGGTGTTTACTCAAATACAAGCCTAGGGTTATTTTTCAGGTATGCCATAAAAAAGGGGGGGTTGTCTTACATTCCCATGCATGTTACACTTATGTCAAGTTATTTTTTTAAAGAAACAGCAACAACCCTTGAAGGTGGCTTGTCTTTCATTCAGGGTCATCTTCCTTTTAAGTAGAAGCTTAACAGCTTTTAAGTAGAAGCTTAACAGCTTCTTCGACAATTCGGTGGGCCCAAGTGTGGGAGATGTCATCTAGTTTTTTATCATAAATCAGCAACAAGATGAAAACCTGGCCCCAAGAAAGTCAGTGGCTTTACTGGGATTTAAATTTTCACCCTATGCAATATTAACCAATCGAGACTCATATAGCCTCCCCCTGTTAAACATGCTCAGGACTGCAGCCCTATTTAGCTAAAACCAACAAATTCCACCTATCTAGAGATGTTCAAGTAGTAGTAAGTAAATTTATTGCATATGACTGTAGGCCGTTACAATATAAAATATACACGATATAAATTTAAGGTTCAAAAGTACTGTTCTAAAACAAAGCCTTCAGAATAAGACTGTATAACATTTCAACAATAAAACAATCCAAGTTTTAAAATAATAGAAGCTTTGCTACCAGTTTTGTAGCTCTACGTTAGACAGCTAGAAACCACTTTGGATCTAACTGTTCTGGCTGCAAGTGCAAAAAGTGCTATCTTGTGATTAACCAAGGGATACATGTCCGACGAGAGGAAAACCAACTTTTCATTGTCAGGTAAGTTGCAAAGTTGGCTTAAAATTCCAGATAGGGATCTGCTTCTTAGGTCTGAATATAAAGGAAAGACCATAATGTAATGAAATAGATCTTCCACTGCGGTACCTCATACACATACACATTGTACCGGTGGTTTGTTGGTATACCTTCCAAGCAGCACTTCAGTGGGCATGGATTGAAAGTGAAGAGTGGCAAATGCTGCTCTTAAACTGTGGACTGCAATGTCTGGCAGATAGGAGGTTCTTAAGTGATCTTTTTAAATCCTGTGATGCCATGGTGCAGATTTTGACTGGAATATTAATCTTTTGTCTAAAAGAGCATCCTCATTAGATACCCATTGGCGCAAGTCCTGGGTATTTACAAAAGATCTGGATAAGTCATCAGGCGCAGAGTATCGTGAAATGATGTTAGTATAAAATTCAATGCGAGTTTTATCACTGCTTAGTAAATCTAAGTAGCTAATTTTGCTAAATGTTTCATTTGGAAGCGGTTGAAATGTTGGCATCGATTTCAGGATCGCTACGTGCGCTTGGACCCATAATGATGGAATACCTGTTTCTGCCCTCATTAGTGCCGCAGGTGAACCCTTGGGCTGTGCCAATAACTGCCTCGGGAAAAGATTTTGTACTGTCTCCAGGCTGGTCAATATTTGTTCCTTCCAGCCCCAAAGTTCTATTCCATACAACATATGTGATACTACTTTGGTGATAAAGAGCTTAACAGCTGGATCTATTAAAAAGCCCCCTTTAATATGATAAAATCTCAAAATTACTCCCAATTACCTTTTTTGCTGTTGATTTTATGGAGGCTATATGGACATTCCAATCCAATGTTTCGCTAAATGTTAGACACAAGTACTTTTATATCTTATATTGTTCTATTGGGACACCTTGGATATTCCATACATTTTTGGGGGTCTTTTACAGAATAGCACCACCTTGGTTTTGGAGTAGTTAATAGATAGCCTCTCCTCCTTGCAATAATCTCCCAAGCTGTCTAAGAGTCTCTTTAGACCAATTCTCGTTAGAGAGAATAGAACCATGTTATCTGCATAAAGCAGTAATGATAATTTTTGTTGACCCAACTTAGGTGGTACAAAGTCCGGACTGCTTAGTTTGGAGACAATGTCATTTATATATAAGCTAAAGTGTAGGAGCTAGTACACAGCCCTGCTTTACTCCCTTTCCTGTAGGAATTCCTCTGGTTAAAGAGCCAGAGGTGCCTACTCGTATCCTTGCATGGGTATCTTGGTGGAGTTCTCCCAGTAAGTTCAGCAACCTCCTATATATGTTGGTCTTCGACAACTTAGCCCAGAGTATCTCTCTATCAATCGACTCGAAGGACGATTCTAGATCGACAAACACTGTATACAGAGCTTTGGTAGGGCCCAACATTGCTGTTTTGGCCAGTTGGTAAAGGCTACAGCAATGATTTATTGTCCCTAGATCTTTCCTAAAACCTGCTTGATGAGGATGTATAAAACTATTGTCGAGGATCCAGTCCTCTAATTTCCTCAGCAGGTACTTCCCATATAATTTGGACTCTGTGTCTAAGAGGCTTATAGGACAATAGTTTTGGGGTTTTGACCTGTCCCCCTTTTTGTGAATAGGGACCACAATGCTAAGTTTCCACCCTAAAGGAAATGTGCCTGAATTGTTGATTTGGGTAAATAACTTAGTCATTACCAGGATCCACCATCCAGGGAAGGACTTAATAACATCTGTTGGAATCAAGTCCTCCCCTGGGGATTTCCCAGGGACTAGGGTAGAAATAAGACTTTCAAAACTGTTACTGGGGGCCATTCAGGTAAAAGTTCCCAGTCAAGAGAGGTGGCTCTTATGTTAGCTCCATCAGGTGTTGGGTTCAGAGGAGATTCATAGATTCTAGAAAAGTACTTCAGACAGACAGTCCCATTTATCTGGCCCTCCAAGATTGGGGAAGAGTTCCTTAAATTAGGTGAAACTAATTCCCAAAACTGAGTTTCATTTTTATCAGAGGTAACATGAGATAATTCGTTCCATAACTGTCTAGCATGCTTGTACTTCTTCCTTTTAATTAGATTCTGATATTGCATTCTTAAACTATTTAGTTGTTGGAGGTGACAAAACATCCTGCTATGTCTGGTTTTCCTCATTTTTCAGTTTATATATATCTTTTAGATTTCTACATTCCAAATCATACCATTTATTTGAGGGACACAGATGAATTTTAGGAGATTCATCCTTAATAAGAAGTGGCTTAATTAGTTGTACAATCTCTTCATATAATTGGATAATGTTGGCATCTGTTTGGAGGAGGACTTGTCTTTTGTCCTTTATTTCTGTGTCCTCTAAGGCTTCAGCTAGTTTTGTTTGTAGATGCTCTGACCATTTGTGTCTTCTTTGACCAGGAAACAAATCTGATGTAACTTCTGAGGAGGGGGCCAGAAATATGGGAACTTTGAAGTTTAGTACTAATTCCAAAGGATTGTGATCACTAAATGCACTTTCTCCAACTTTAAAAAATCTACCTGTTCTAGCAGTACTGGGGAAATAGCTATATAATCTACTGTACTGGCAAATTTAGAAGATGGGTATGTAAAAGGACCTGTGGATATGTCCAATTGAGAGCCATGCAGTTTGTACAGTAGCTCTAGAAACTTTAAGCTCGGTTTACTGATTACTGGGCCTATTGCTCTACGGTTAAGTAGGGATGCTTGGGCAGCAATTTCACTGTTGATGTCCGTGGGTGACTCATAGCTTCCTGGTCTGATCCGGGCATTGAAATCCCCCTCTAAGATCATATTGGTACGGGGGTGCTGGGACACCAGATCTTCTAATGTTTTAAATAACTGATCCCATAGCCTACCTTCTGTATGAGCTTTGGAGCATTTAGGTTGAAGATATACATCAATACACAAAACAGGATCTGTAAATAAACTCTTAATTAATAGGATTTGGATATAGTTTGGGTTTGCTGAATCTAAAGTGTGAATTTCAACCCTCAAATCAACATTGATTAGTAGAGCCAACCCTCCACTACCCCTCCCTCTAGAGCATAGCTTAAGTGCTGGTATAGCATATGCCTTGGAGGGATAGGGAGGTAGAATCCTGAATCCAGGTTTCTTGTAAAATGTCAAAAGGGTTAAGGCAATAAGAAATTCAGAATCATAAAGTTTGTCATGCCACCCTCCCAGATTCCATGAAAAGATTTTTGTCACTTTTCTTCTGTGATTTTTTCCCTAGATCTCCTCCCAAATCATGGAAAACACAACCATTCATATTATGCTCCTCTTGTGCAAGCTGTTGATCAGTTCCTGCGGCCTTGCTGGGGTACTGTCCATAACTGTCTCTGTGTTTTCCCTCTAGTTGTCTAATTGGGGGAATTTCAACTGCAGCATTTGGATTTGGTGCCTCATAGTTGAATTCTGTGGCAAAAGGAAAACATTGGGGTATCACGTTTTCCTTTGTTTTCAGAAGTTCGGTTTTTACCCAGTCCAATCTTGATATAATGTCTATTTGTTCCTCTTCAGGAATCTTTGAAAATGATTTAATTAAATCTCCTTCAATTGAGTTTTCCAGGTAAGAGCAACCTCTATTGTCAATGTCCATAGATGTTGCAGTTAAGTTTCTTTTAAACTGCGTTTCTACAGTTGGAGATGGTGGTTGTGGATATAAGCCTTTTTGTCAATCACTGTAGGTCTTGTATACCTTTCTTTGGAAAACAAGGAAGTAATAGCAAAAACCCTACTTGGTAAAATTCCTTCTGATGACAAATACCCACTGTGTTTCAAGATCAACGTGGGCATTTTGGGATTCTTGAAGTACAGCAGTAATCTCTGTACTTGGCTTGTGCTGGGTAGTACTTCTAGTGAAGTTAAGTCAGCTGCAGTACTGTACTCTGGAAAAAGGGCTCTCAAATGAGAGGCAGCCTGTTTTACAGACTTCCATTGTAGTGGCTCACTGTGATACAGGCCTTATGAGCTTGGATGATCAGGTTGTAGGGTCTCTTACTACAGGTTGGCTTTTGTACTATGATGTCATCTTTTGGGATTGTGCCTGTGAGTAAGACATCATCTGCACTCTCAGGAACACCAGGGAGTATCACTGGGCTCGATAACTTAGCTTTTGGTAATCCGTTCAAGATTGCTTCTTATCTCACATAAAGCCTCAAATATACATTTCACTGTCTCTGCAGTTAGCATATAAAAATCTTTCTCTAAATTGTCAGGCATCCCTGCTCCCATAGTTGTTGTAACATTTGAGTATCAGGTTCTCCGAAATAGTAGCTTGATCAAGAGGCGCATATCTATTTGAGGTTTATGAACTGGAGTTTCTTTAATTGCCTTAGCTGCAAAATAATCCTTTATCTTCTTCTGTTTGCTTGCTGGAGGAGAAGTTGTATCTTCTGAGTCCCAAGCTCTCTTACTTCCTTTTGTTGAGCCCATCCCCCTTGTAGGTAGGCTGTAGGAGTATGTTTCTCTAATTAAAGTAAACGCTCAGAATGACTGTTATATTTGTTGAAAGCAACCTATTACAATTGTAGCAGAAGGCAAAAGGCTAGGGTGCCTGAAGAATTAGAGTCTATTCAAGTGCTATTTTTAATAGCACAAGCTGCCATTTTCAGTAAAAATTTCAACTTCCCAGGCTTCCCAGGATTATCTTAGCAATGAACTTAATGCATCAGGAGAAGCCCATAGGAGTGAGATTAAGGTTCAAGGCTCCGGTACAGTCAGCCCAGATAATGTAGTCATCAATAACAAGCGGAAGTAAATTACGTAGAGATAAAAAGTAAAATAAAATAAAATAGAAATAAGGGAAAGATAAGAAAATAACTTGTGGAGCATTGCTTATCAGTGCTGCAGCCTTGGCGCCATCTTGGAATCTCACATTGATCTGCACAGACTCAGTTCTAGCAAAAGGATCGGAATCAGTATTTCTCACTAAGGAACTTTTCATTTATTTTGCTTTCATTTACTCTGTATTATGCCTTTCTTGCTTGGACTCAAGATGTTCTACAGGATACAAGTTCAAAGTGTGTGAAATCCTTGTAGTAGGTCAACTGACTCTTCATATGTACAATAAAAGTCTTAAATCATTTTAAATCATTTAATTCTTTCTCCTAATTATCTGGTCTCTGCTATTCAGATCAGGTCTCAGAAGAATGATGTAGCACTTAATAGAGAAGATCCAAGCCAGTAATGCAGCACTGGAGGCCAAGATAGAGAAAACCTCTACAGCAACCATGTATTTCCCTTTGGTGCTCAGATAGGTTGGAAGAAAGGACATCCAAACACTGCAAAAGATCAGCATGCTGAAAGTGATGAATTTGGCTTCATTAAAACTGTTGGGCAGCTTCCTGGCAAAGAAAGCCACAGTCAAGCTTATGAGAGACAAAAGTCCCAAGTAACCCAGGACAACATAAAACATGACCACAGACCCTTCATTACATGCTACTACAATCTTCTCAGCCATGGACTGCATGTCTAAATCTGGAAATGGAGGCGAGGTTCCCAGCCACACTATACAGATACCTACTTGAACAAGGGAGCAGGAAAGGACAATGGAGTTGGCCAGTCTTTTCCCAACCCACTTCCTCAGGCCAGATCCTGGTTTGGTGGCCATAAAAGCTAGAACCACAGTGATGGTTTTGGCCAACACACAAGAAAGAGCCACCGAAAAGACGATCCCAAAAGCAGATTGTCGGATGAAGCAGGTCACAGTGCTTGGTTTTCCAAGAAAAAGCAAAGCACAGAGGAAGCAGAGCAGAAGGGAGACGAGGAGAGCATAGGTGAGATCTCGGTTATTGGCTTTGACTATGGGGGTATCTTTGTTCTTCATAAAAACTGCTAGCACGAAGGCTGTGATCAGGAAACAAGAAACTGCAAGCAAAACTAAAGTGATTCCTAAAGGTTCTTCAAATGCCAAGAATGACAAGAAAGTTATCACTTTGTTGACGCATCCATCTTTGTCCTTGCTTGAATACTGATCTTCTGGGCATTTGATACAATCAACCATATCTGAGGGGAAAGGGGGAAAAATTGAATGTGGGTTGATCCCTAGACACTTGAACCTGCCTTATACAGAATCAGGCCATTGAGTTGTGAAAGTCAGCATTGCACTCTTTGAGTTAAGGCACCTCTCCAAATACAGACTTCTTTCATGTCACCTGCTCACTTTAATCAGGAGACATTAAAGCTTCAGTCTGGGACTATCTCCATGCAAGGCAGATTTCTACCACTGAGCCACCAACCCTTTCATTAAAGCTTATGGGTTTAATTCCCCATGCCTCCATTTGCAGCTGCTGGATGACCTTTGGCAAGCCATAGTTCTGTCAGAGCTGTTATCTCAAGGACAGGTCTGGAAAGAGCTCTCAGCCCCGCCTACCTCACAAGGTGTCTGTTGTGGGGAGGGAAAGGGAAAGGAGTTTGTAAGTTGCTCTGAGACTCCAAGTGAAGGGCAGGGTATAAATCCAATCTCTTCTATTCTTCTTCTTCTTCTTCTCTTCTTTATATCTTCACTAGAAATTAGGCCCGTTGTGGAAATAAATACAACGGGATCTAGAAAGAGGCTCTGGGAGAGTGCTCTGGCTTTGGGCAAACAGTGTCAGTCTGCTTTTAAAACATGAACCTGGGACCTGCACACCACCAGAATACAGCAGGTTCCATATGCAACTGACATTCCAACTGCCTTGCGGGGGCGGGGGGGGGTTGAAGTGTGGAATGGAGTGAAGTCCAATCAGCTTCCATATGCAAAAGACCAGATTGTCGCAGCAGTTGTGGTGTGGGCGGGACCCGGGCTTTGCCTTCTGATTGGTGGCGATATATGCTGAGGAGCAGTGCCATCAGCCATACACTAAGGGAGTGCATTTTAGAATTAGAACTTTGGCACCCACTATCTCTCCTTATATATAATTGAATAGTGGGTGCCAAAGTTCTAATTCTAAAATGCACTCCCTTAGTGTATGGCTGATGGCACTGCTCCTCAGCATATATCGCCACCAATCAGAAGGCAAAGCCCGGGTCCCGCCCACACCACAACTGCTGCGACAACCTGGTCTTTTGCATATGGAAGCTGATTGGACTTCAGGCCATTCCCCCCCCCAAACCCCCCCCCCCCCCCGCAAGGCAGTTGGGATTTTCAGTTGCATAACATACCTCATAGGGGAGAGGAGAATGGGTAACAATGGTTACCACTCTCCAGGTGAGGGCTACAGATAACTCAAACATACAAATGCTCTTCAGGTAGCAGAGATCAGTCCCTCTGGAGAAAACAGTGGACTCTGTCATTAAACCCTGCTGAGGTCGCCACAGGAAACTGACACTGTTTGCCCAAAGCCAAAGCACTCTCCCAGAGCCTCTTCCTAGATCCCGTTGTATTTATTTCCGCAACGGGCATTATTTCTAGTAACA